AAATTATTTTTAAAAAGTGTTTTGCAATTTCTAATGAAATTGATGGACTATCCTAATAAGAAATAGTAAAGACATTGCTTTAAGTCATCATAAAATGACTAAAAACATTGAGATTTTATTACTTAATAGTCTTAAAAATTAAAGTAGTACTGGTTTTGAAATACGATCTTTACCTTTTGCTTCAAGTACCGTTTACCTTAACTGTGTCAGCCATACTTGTTCTCACTACACATGCAGGACACCCACAGACTGGCTTGCCCGCTCCTCTTTGTCCCATTTCTCTACTTTCATGTCATCTTTATCTCTGTCCCCAGCACTATACACCTTGTCCACAATATAGCAAGCTTTTGATAAATGTATTTCTAATCAATTTAGAATCCATGATCATTAACGGTTACTTGCGTATTAATTTAGATTTGATGTGTAATAAGAAAATACTATTACATCAGAGTTTTTGTTAAAAGTGCAATACATTCTGTCTGTTGGGAGCTATTTTGCAATAGGACAATCCTAAACTGTTTGTGCTTGTTCTCTTGCTCAATATGTAATTTTTGCCAAGAACAGGCTCTACTCAAAATGATGACTCAGAATATTAAACCAACCTAAATATGGGTTCATGTCACTTAACTCCTCCCCCACCTCAGTAATTTCCTATCTCTTTGTGTCTGCAGCAGCCTCCTCAAAGTGTAATGCTGCTCTGTATCATTTGTTACCTCTTGTGTATTACATGTCTGTTCCTTTTTTTGTCTTAATGGCCATAGGTATTATATTTTGTTGTAGATCATTAAGTCCAACTCTTTTAAAATTCTTTTATAGATATATATGTATATGCTTAAATGTTTATTGGCTGTAATCCTTGAACTCATGTGGAGGGGCTAGTTGTTTGTTTTGGGACAGTGATTGGCTGTGTAGCTCAGGCTGGTCTTGAACTGGAGATCCTCCTTGCTTGGCTTCCTGAGTGCTGAGATTACAGATGTGTACTACCATACCCAGCCAAAACTTGAAACTTTGTGTATGGGGGGAGGGATCATGGGGATTGAGCCCAAGATCTCATACATGGTAGGCAAGTATTCCACCACTGAGCTACATTTCAGCCTAAACTCATTTTTGATAATCAAATCTTTTTAATAGCAACTTTATTGAGATGTAATTCACATACTTTAAAGTTCACCCTTTAAAAATGTTCATTCACAGTATGCAACCATCACAACCATTTAATTTTTAAAGTGTTTTAATCAAAAGTTCAAAGAATATTGGGGCCGTGGCTCACACCTGCTTACCAAGTGTGTCTTTGAGTTCAAATCCCAGTACCCAAAGAATATTAAAGGCCTCATATTCATCATACCCATTAGCAGTTGCTCTGTTCTCCCTCCCCCATTCTCTAGCAACCACTAAGTAGCAATCCACGTTCTGTGTCTATGGATTGCCTCTCTTGAACGTCCTATATAAACAGAAACATAGGTTATCTGGCTTTGATTTAGCATGTTTTTGAAGATCATATTGTTGAATGTATCAGTATTTTGTTCATTTTTAAAGCTAAAAAGTGTTCCATTGTATGGATATAACACATTTTGTTTATCTAGTCATCAGGTTTGAAGCACACATGGGATATTTCCACCTTTCTGCTATTATCCGTGCTGCTATGAACACTTGTGTACAAGTTTTTGTGTGAACATGTGTTTTCATTTCCTTTAGGTATATAGGAGGGGCTTGAACTCAGGGCCTTCACCTTGAGCCAGTCTGCCAGCCCTTTTTCTGATGGGTATTTTCGAGATAGGGTCCCGTGAACTATTTGCCCAGGCTGGTTCGAACCTCGATCCTCCTGATCTCTGCCTCCTGAGTGGCTAGGCATGAGCCACCAAAACCCAGCTTTTTTCCACTTTCTTAATGATGTCCTTTGACATGGAAAAGTTTTTTTTTTTTTTTTTTATGAAGTTCAACTTACTTATTTCTTTGTTATTTGTGCTTTTCTAAGAAATAATCCAGTCATGAAGCTTTTACTCTTATATGACATTTTAGAGTGAATTTTCTTATAATGTTGGGTAGGAGTTCAATTTCATTTTTTGTGTGTATTTCAGTTGTCTCAGAACCATTTGTTGAATATATGCTGCTTTGAATGTCTTTGTGCTTTTGTCAGAGCTTTTCTAATTGTCTTATTACCCTTGTCTCGCAATCTGTTGGTCATAAAAATACAGTTTTATGTGTGGAATCAATACTCTAGTCCACTGATCTATACACTTATCCTGATTCCAGTATGACAGTACAGTACCAGATTGTCTTCATTATTATAGCTTAGCAGCAAGTTTTAAAAATGAGAAATGTGAATCCTTGCACTTTGCTTTACTTTTTCAATATTGTTTTGGCTATTAAATGTTCCTTGCATTTCTGTGTGAGTTTTAGGGTTAGATTGTCAGTTTTGCAAAGAAGTCATTTGGAATTTTGACATTGATTGCTTTTGTATGTTAGGTCAAATTAGAGAGTATTGAGCATCTTAGCAATATTAAGGTTGATTCCCAGGGAATGGGAGGAGAAGGAGTCATGTTACAAAGTAGAAGATTTACACATTAAAAATTATGTCATTAGGGTTGTTTTCTGATGAGGATTCTCTTTCTGACTTGCAGGCAGTTGCCTTTTCATGTGTCTTCTCTGGCCTTTCCTCTGTGCACTTAAAGAACTCTCTGGTCTCTCTTCCTCTTAGGACATCAGTGCTATCAGATTAGGCCACCCTGTCTTAATTGTCTCCTTCAAGGCTCCATCTCAAATACAGTGAGCTCTTCAAAATTGTGGGTTTTGTACACATGGAACCAACTAATTGCATATTGAAACTATTTGAAAAAAATTGTAGTCTAAAGATTATTTAAAGTATATGGGAGGATGTGTGTAGTTTGCATGCAAATAATGCACCATTTTATATAAAGGACTTGAGCATCCTTGGGGGGGACAGTCTTGCAACTAAAGACAACTGGCTGGTCATGTTGGGAGTAACATGTGAATTTGTGTTTTTACAAGTTCTGATTCTTCTTTGGTTGTAATTAATAAAGCATTTAATAAGTATGCAATTTAAAAAACTATCCCTAATTTTTTACTCTTTGGATCCCCTCAGGTTCCTTTAAGTAAAATTGGTTATTTACAGTACTTACAAATTAAATGTATTTCTGAAGTGTTACACTTTAAGAGCACATTTCCCCATACTAATGATTCTAAATCCGCTTACTTCACTACTCTCACCCTTCACTCCCCAATTTACATTTTCTTCTATACATAATTGAGTTCCTGGTTTTTTTTTTTTGAAATCTTACTATCGTCTCAGTTTAACTATAAAGCTGAAAATAGAACAATGTGTTAAATTTCTTTAGATATCATTAATATGGACTTGAAATTAGTGTTCTATGTGCTTTTATCATTTCTGCTTTAGATTTGTGGGGTTGTTTCCTTCATTGAGGTTAAAGTTTGTTTTTTTTTAATGGGACTTTTATTTTGTAATAATTGAATTATATATGACACAGGGAGCATTGTGCCTGTCAAGGAACTAATTCCAGAGAAACTGGATTGCAGAATCTAGAGAGAAAGGTAGGAAGGAGATGGACCATTCAAGGCCTTGTAGAACATTATAAAAATGATTTTGGAGCTGGGTGCTGGTGGCTCATGCATATAATCCTAGCTACTCGGGAAGCTGAGATTAGGAGGATCAAGGTTCAAGGCCAGCCCCAGCTAATAGTTGGTGGGACTCCAACTCCAAAATAACCAGAGCAAAATGGACTGGAGGTGTGGTTCAAGTGATAGAGCGCCTGCTTTGCAAGTTCAAACCCTAAGCCCACCCCAAAAAAACAAAAAAAGATTTTGGGTTATTTTAGAGCAAAGGGAAGCCATTAAGGTGTTTTAGAGTTAACATCAGATTTGTGCTTTATAATATGGGGGGAGGGAGATTGATGAAGAGTAGTTAGAAAGCTGCTGAAATAATCTGGTGGTAGGGCTAGGAGATAGCCTTGGAGAAGGACGGAAACAGATTTGAGAGAAATTCAAGAGGTCTAATCACTGGGTCTTGGGGATGGGGATGAAAGAGCAGTGTTTAGTCTGATTCCCTGGTTACTGGTGCTAGATGAATGTGTTACCATTTGCCAAGATGGAAAACAGGAGAAGTAGACTAGCATTGAGGAGAAACAAATGAATTTGGTTTGGAATGCGCATTGAATCATAGAAGATGTCAAATGGGCACTCGCATTTGTCCTTGTGAAGGTCAGAAGAGCATTCTCAGCTGGAGACAGAAATTTATGAGTCATATTCTGATAGGAGGTAATTGAAGTTTAGAGAATAGAGGAGGTGGCCTTAGTGCTGAGGTTTGAAACTCAGGTATTTGATGGCTAAGAATGGGAGAATGTATCAGAAGAGGAGGCTGACTAGGAACAACCAGACCCATGGGTGGGCAGAAGAAAAAAGGAGGTCAGGGAAGTGAACGTAGCCTTTCAGGAGGAGGGTTAAGCAGAAGGCCAAATACTCCTGAGAAGTATTTGGAAAGGACTGAAACATGACTGTTGGATTTAATGATATAAAAGTGGTGAACGTAACAGAAGCTGTTTTAGGGAAGTAGGGACTCTTGATTCCAGATTGGGATATTGTCAGAAGTGAGTCAGTGGTGAGAAGATGGAAATGGTAAATTAGAAACCTCTTTGAAGAACTTTATCCCCTCAGTGGAAAAAAAAAAAAAGGTGAGAACAGGATAGCTGGAGACAAAGGTAGGTTTGGTATTTTATAATGAGAAATTGAAAGTTCATTTTTGAAAAGATATCACCTTATAAAGGCTTGGGATATCAGAATGATAAAGTCAAGAATACTTGAGATATTCTAGTTGAAAGATGCAATTTTAAAGAAGAAAGATGTAATTTACACTATTGGTATTAATAGCTACCATTGATTAAGTATCTGCTTTGTGTTAACTTTTAAATTTTTAGAGTAGTCATTAATTGTTGTGTTTGCTTGCTATCCCAATCCCTTTTTGTCAGAAGAATGATGAAAATGGAAACTGCTCAGGGGAAGGAATTGAATTCCCTACAACAAATTTATATGAACTGGAAAGCCGTGTTTTGACTGACCATTGGTCCATCCCTTACAAACGAGAGGAATCACTAGGCAAATGCCTGCTGGCTTCTACCTACCTAGCAAGACTTGGTAAGCATTCATACCTCACAAGACACAAGGAAATTTTTGTTATAGGAGCCTAAATGTCATCTTAGTTCTTGTCATTGCCTGTCTGTGCAGTCTTGGTAGATCATTTATTCTCTTAGTCTTTGTTTATCCCCTATGGAATAAAAGCTTTGAACTAAATCAGTCCTTTTCCTCTAAAGCGCCAGTAGTAGGGAGGGAAGGAAGGAGGGATAGAGGGAAAGAGAAGGAGGGAGGGAGGAGCCATTATTGTATGACTTTACAGTGGATTCATTCATTTACTTGGTTTTTGTCACTTACTATATGAGTTGTGCCAGACACAGTCTATGTTTTATTTTGTAGAGTTCATAGATTTGTTTTACAAAAGAATGTTATTTGTTAAAAATATTTGTATTTTTATAGAGCTGTTTAGGAAGACAGTTATAGCTAGTAAGTAGCTGCTGCCATTTTATCTAGTTAGATCATGTATGTTTTCCTGTCCAGGACTCAAGTTCAGACATTTCAGTTCTGATTAGCGTTTATTTAGTCTAATGCTGTGATTATTTCCTAGTCATTACTTTAGAAGAATGTCTGTATTCTACTTTTGGTTACCTCTTAAGAGTCAAGATTTCTATGATAAATATTTCCATTTGTATGAATTTTAAATGATAAAATTTCTACAAAATCTATCTGAAATCTAAATAAGGTATATACTTTCATTTATTTTACCAAGGTCTTTCTGATTCTGATGAGAATTGTAAAAGATTTATGGATAGATGTATGCCTGAAGCATTTAAAAAGGTAAGAAAAGTATGCTAATTTGATTTTTTTGATGGAGATGAGGGTAGGCAGCTTTTTGTTTTAATTTGTTATTTATGACCAGTTGTCTAATATGAAAAAAAATAGCTTTGAATTTGGAGCTTATTACTGATTTGCTTATTTTATGTTGTTGAACTTGCAAACAATTGGTTGAATATAACTTTCCCTTGCCACTATTTAATTGCTAAAGAAAAAAATCAAGAATTATACTATTACTGTATTCTTAGTAGGCTAAGGATTATGGCACTTAGATCATACTTACCAAAATATGGGATACTTTAGGCTAATTTTACCAAGACAGAAACAGATATTTTAAATTACAGAAGCAGATACTCTTCTTTCTGGCAAAATGGTGTTCATATGGCAGCATGACTGTCAGAGCCAGAGTGATGGATAGCCTTGCTCTAATTTTGGCCACATCTTGTAAAGAACAGTTTCTTTTAACAATGAGAATAGAAGATGACAGGAATCCTGTTTCTAAAAGCAACCTAACTCATGACTCCCCTTTCAGGATGTGAATCTTGAATTCTCAATCCTCACAGGAGGAGGGACTATGCATGTAATAGACGCTGTTTTTCTCAGCAGGTAACCAAACCAAGTGCCTGGCTCATAGAAAGAGCTCAGTAATCTTGGTTGAATGAATAAATCTCCTGCTGTTTGATACTATGGTATTTTGATATCCTTTTTGTCCCATATGGAAGTAAATCACTAGAACTACAGATAAGTAAAGTTTTGTATTTATTTTAAAACTTAGTAAAACAAACTGTCCATTTGCAAACAATTATTCCCATCTACATTTTGGTAGACAGACTCCCCTTGATTCAAGACTTTAAAAATAGCAAAATTAATTTCAGAAACAAAAGTAGCATAATCTTTGAGGTTAAAAAAAATGGGTGAAATCCTTTAAATTGTCATTTGGGCAGAGAGTCTGTGGAATTATGATATTTTAGATAAATTTACCAATTTATACTTTAAATTTTTTTAAGAATTATTTTAAGAATATTTGTAGCTTTAAAAAAACAACAGACTTTAATACAATATACTGTGACAGATATCATAGTATGAGCATAAATTTATGGAGAAGGAAAATATAAGCTTATTCAGAATCATGAAAAAGGACTAAATAGTCTAAGAAAGAGACTTTTAGGTTGAGAGACTACAGATCCAGAAAGGCCTGCATTAAGTCAGTTCACCAGCAAGTTGCATGTTTGGAGTATAGTACACTGATTGAATAGAGATGTTTCAGATAACTATTATAATTATGTCCTCAGCTGATTTTATGTATAATTAATTAATGGTCAAATGGCTGCTTGGTTGTTTTTCTCTGAAAATATGAGCACAAGGTACCCTGAATTATGTGATTCAGTTTTGTTAATGTAAAAATGTTACATCCTCCCCCAGTTTAGAGTTATTAAGAATGTTCTTTTCCCTATCAATTAGGCATGCTTTCTTTTATTAAACCAAAAGAGCTGCAGAGTTGTGTGTGCGTTTGAGGCTTGGCCTCCAGAAAACTCAGTAGGATTTAATGTTTTTGGAACTTTCCTTGGCTGTACTTCCTGGTATGATGACCATTTTTTCCTCCCATCTTCCTCAGTCTTTTCTTACAAACTGCCTCAAATGTTTTAGACACAAGGGCATGAAAAATAACTGCTGTGTGAATAAGGTGCACAGAAGTAGCTTTGTTGCATTTCTTTCGTCTTCTGGCCAGCCTGGATTCTTTACTAGTATATTCAAGCAGAGAAAATAATCTTGATTTGGCCACAGTAAATAGGTTTAAATCTATATATACCTTCCCCACAGGCTGCTGCCCATGTCTTCTAGGAAGTTGTCGAACTGCATTTTCAAAGTGAAAGATGAACAAATGAGATGACACCAGAGTAGTGGCTAATGCATACATGTTTCTATTTTGGACTCATATGAAGCTTGTTAATCTACTTCTGTTTGTGTTTTAATTTTTAAGTGTAAGAGGAGTATGTTGTCAAACAAAATTCTTGCAAAAAATAGTAACTCAACTGCTTTATGTAAAATCAGTCTTAGGATTTTTGCGTATTTGAGCAAGTAACTGTAGCTAATTGGTATTTAGAGAATCTGGAACTGAGACTCTGCAACTACTCTCTCAGGCTGCTCTTTTTAAGGCGTTCTCAATATGGCCAAGATGAGGTTTTTTATTATATAGTATTTCCCTCTGGGTTAGACATTTTACAAAAACATGAAGCCAGATCAGCTGTGGTGATGCATGCCTGTAATCCCAAGGAAATTAAAATTCAAAAACAAAACAACAAAACTTTGTGTTAACTTTGAAGTAAATGATGAAGTAAATGAAAAGCTGCAGCTATGGGTTTTTTAAGTCATTTTCATGAAAAAAGCATTTTGGTCACACTCTTGATGATTTGAGTTTGACCTGATACACTGTAGATTTCTTTTCTTTTTTCAACTTAGTCTCTAGATTTCCCCTTCATGTTTTTGTAGCTCCTGACATCAAGTGCTGTTCACAAGTGGGGTACTGAAATTCATGAGGGAATCTACAACATGTTGATGCTATTAATAGAACTGGTTGCAGAGAGAATAAAACAAGATCCAATTCCCATTGGTCTCCTGGGTGTGCTTACAATGGTATAGTATCTGTAAAATAAAGTACTTTCTTTTTGTTTTGATTTTGTTTAAAACACTTGCTATTATTTGACTTGTAATTAATTAATAATGGGTGATAATGATTTTATTACTAAAGATACTTAGTAGTTGGGATTCCTTGCTTTTATTTTATTTTAACAGCACAATAGCCACCATGTATTTTGTGTTTGAAATACTTTTCTAACTTTAATGGACTTTTCAGGTCATAAAATGATGACTTATCTTTACTGTGCCTCTCCCTGATTATTCACATCTTAAATATTTTCATAAAATGTTCATGTTGATTGGCTTTTGCCTTTTCCCCATTCATGCCTTTCTCTCCTAACCTCTGTCGTCACTGCCTCTGCTGCCCAGCTCTACCTGTGTCAGCCCTTGTGCCTCTGGGGCAGTGGTATCACCTTGCCTGGAGTCAGATTTCCCATCCCATTAGCTCCTCCTCTCCCCCAGGGTGAACATCAGCAGGCCAGGGGAGCACATAGCAGTCCTTTGCACCTCTGCTAGCCAGATCATGCTTTACTTGGTAGCAGCTTATTAGTGAAGAAGTCCAAGGCTGTATTTTATCTTCCTTCCTAGTGGTAGTGTGTTGCTATAGAAACAGATAGTAACGTTTCTCTGTTCTCTTTCATTCTAGGCTTTCAATCCTGATAATGAATACCATTTTAAAAACAGAATGAAAGTGTCTCAGAGGAATTGGGCAGAAGTGTTTGGAGAAGGAAATATGTTTGCAATTTCTCCTGTATCTACTTTCCAAAAGGTAAACATAGTTTTATCTTTTTATAAAGAAATATTTTAAAAAAGATTTCAGTGCTATAAAAATGACAAGTATTCCATGTGATTCATAGAATTGTTTAAAATGTGTGCAGATAGTACAAGTCATATCATGAAGAATTTTATAGATTTGAAATTATATTCAGTGAAATAAGAAACAACTTTAGTGCTCTACAAATTGGATTATCAGAAACTCAGTTTAATTAGTGTCCTAATTTCTAAGAGATATTTGAGAGGCTAGAGCATTTGAAATAACTATTCGTACCTAACAAAAGCAGCTAGTTGTCTCTCATAATTTTCTTTAAAACTCCATGAGCATTGAAACTTTTTCCTTTTCAGGCCCAGAACTAGTATTTTTTTAATGATTATTATTATTTATTTATTTATTGTTGGTGAGGTATTCAGGTTTGAACTCAGGGCTTTGCACTTGGTTTTCAGACACTACTGCTTGACCCATACCTCTGGCAATATGGAAGGTAACTTTATGCCACAAGTAGTGCATAATCTAAACAATCCCGTAGTTAAAACACTGTGTTTTGAAAAACAGCTGAAAGAAGTCAAATTTAGTCAATAGTAAACTTGTCCATTGTCTTAGCAGAGGTTTGGTTTAACAGCCATTTATTGAACATTTACTGTGTGTGTGGCATTTTTCTAAGTTTTAGAGATATAAACCAATAGTCCTCATCTTTAATACAAGAAGTTATACAGTAGGGTTCCTAGCTTAGAGTGCAGTAGAGGAAATATGAAAGCAATATTACAGTATAATAAACAATAGGTGCAATCATAATATACTGTGTATAGAATACAGAGGAGGGAGTGGTGACCTTGGGGGGGTGGTCAAGCAGTACTCCAAAGAGGAGATAAGAGCTGAGTGACAAGGGTAGTGAATATGTACTTTGGAATTTAATCCCACAGTAACTCTGAGGTCAGTACTATTTTTACCCCTCTTTCATACATGAGAAACTGAGACAGGTTACATACTTGCCCAAGCCCAAATACCTGGGTAGAAGAACTCAAAAATCAAGCTCCAGAGTCTGCTTTTTTAAGCCACATAGAGAACTATCTCCCAAAAATGTAAACTCTTCTCTTCAGAATGTATTAAATGGCATGAAGGCACTGAATGTTGTGCTTCACTATAGTATGTGCTCAGCAGACATTCAGTTTCTACTGCTGAGACCACAAATGATCAGTCTTTGTTGTATTTCCTCTTCTTATCAAATGGGAGAATTCTCTCCCCCACTGAGATCCCTCTTCTCTTGCCTTATCAAGCATTTTGCTCCATAGGTTTTCTATTCCTTCTTTGGGGTCCTCAATCTGTTCCTCACTGTTGAATCATTCCCATTATGTTCAGCATGCTTTAGTATTTTCCATCTCTGAATAGTCTGCCTTTAATATGACTTCTCTGTAGCTTCAGCATGGTTACCCTTTACATCCATGCCTCAAGAAGGATTCCAGGTCCTCTCCTCCAATTCTTTCAGTGACTACCCTAAATTTTTAACTTAGTAACTAAACGAAACCTGAATTTCAGTATCTTTAGTAAGTATCCGCTAGTGTCATCTTTGTTTTTAGTGACCTAAACTCAACTTTATTTCCCATTTCTTTTGTTTGTTTGTTTCTTTTTTTTTTTTTTTTTGATGGTACTGGGGTTTGAACTCAGGGACTCAATGCTTTTTAGGCAGGCACTCTACCACTTAAGCTACTCTGCCAACCCTGTTTCCCATTGCTTAAAAGAATTTTTCAGTGGGTTTTCAGTTCTGGATTGATAGGTACTTTCTGTGAGAATATTAAAAATACCATTTCACTATCTTGGTCTTGATTATTGCTGTTGAAAAGTTGGCTTTTTTCCCTTGGTGTGTGTTGAGATCTCTTCTTCCTCTTTAATGCCTGTCAGTTTGATTCTCATGTCTTCTTTTAGAACTCTAATTATATATGTTGGACTTTCTCATTCAGTCCTCCATGTCCCTTAACCACTCTCATATTTTCCATCTTTTTGTCTCCTTATGCTGCATTAGTGGTAATATTTTTCCAGATCTCTTGTCCACTTTACTTTTTTTTTCCTATTTGTATGATTTTGCTATTAATCTGTTCATTTAAGTCTTTGACTTCAGTTTTGGTATTTTTTTAAATGTGGTACTGGCCTTGTGCTTGTTAGGCAAGTGCTTTACTACTTGAACCATGCCCCCAGCCCTTTTTGCTTTAGTTTGTTTTTGATAGGGTGTTGAGCTTTTGCCCAGGCCAGCCTAGGACTGATCCTCCACCTCCCAAGTTGCTGGGATTACAGGTATGCCCCAACATGCCAAGCCCAGTTACTATATTTTTTATTTTTTATAAATTGCTGTTTTGTTTTTTCATTTTGTTTGTTTTTTGAGACAGGATCTTGCTGTGTAGCCCAGACTAGCCTGGAACTCATGATCATCTGGAACTCGTGATCCTCCTGCCTCAACCTCCCAAGGGCTGGGATTACAGGGGTGAACCACCACAGCTGGCTCTATTTAGTCATTTTTTTATTATCTCCTATTCTTGACTCATAGTTTTAATCCTGTTTGTTTAATGCTTAATTTGTATTCTGTGTCTTATATCTATAGGTTTGATTCTGCTTATTTTGTGTGTGTGTATTATAGAAATGCATTTATACTTAATTATTTGTTTTTCTGTGAACTCATGTGTCTTAGAATTTAATGTAGTGTGGTTGTTTTGAGGCATAAGTTGAAAGTTCTTTTCCTCCAAAAAGAATTTACTTTTACTATTTCCAGGCACCTGGAAGCACTATAGTCTAGAACTTTTAGATTAAATCTTGGTTTCCGTCAAAACATAGACTTGCTCCCAAAATTGTGTACAGTAAGCTTTTCCAGACCATAAAGTTAGTGTGAATTTGAGCAGCAATGCCATACAAGGGTAATTCTGTGGTTACACATTCTTAGAGAATTTTGTTCTCCCCTCTATCCAGTACCAATGTCAAAGTAGGCAGGTTTCCTGGTTTTTCCTTCTGCATGTAAATTTTTCGGTTCACCTTATACTATGGGTGTAGTTCTTTAGGTTCCAGCTTTGTGTGACAGTCTCTTCTGCATCTCCCTGCCTTGACTCTGTCCCTTTTTTTCACAAAGATGGAAACTGAGGTCATCACGGTTCTATAGGTACCTGTGCAGTGACAGCAGGCTCCAGAGTTGTCTTACCACCAGTAGTCCTTCTTTGTCCTTGCTTTTTATTGCCAATCATGCTGTATATGTATGTTTTTAAACATTATTTCTTTAATGTTTTTATCTAGCAGTATCATTCTCTGTTGGAGAGCTGTGTAGGGTAACCAGAATAAAGTCCCCTTTCTCTCTTCAGGGCATTCTATCCTGCCTCCTTTTCCTACTATCCACTGAACTCATTCTCCTTAAGGTACCACAGCCTCCATGTTTCAATGGGAAGTCAAACTCCACCTATACCATTAGTCATAGTTGCTACCTCCTTGAGTCTGTGTCTTCCTTGACTTTCAGAACATTCTAGTCTCTTACTTTTCTATTTACCCCCTAAGCCACGTTTCCTTTGTTGGTTCCTTCCCCACTATAAAGCTTTTATTCAGGCCTTTATACTTTCTCTAAGAAGTATCTTCCATTATCATGGTCTTAAATGTTATATTGTGCTGGGCATGGTGATACACATCCATAATCCCAGCTACTCAAGAATTGGAGATGAGGAGGATCATGGTGCAAGACTAGCTCAGGCAAAATGTTAGTGAGACCCCATTTCAACAAACAACCCCACTGTGGTGGTCCATGCAGGAGGCATAAATAGGAGGATCACAGTCTAAGACTTGCCCAAGCAAAAAGCATGAGGCACTGTCTGAAAAATAACTGAAGCAAAAAGGCTGGGAGCATGGCTTAAGTAGTAGAGCACTTACCTAGTGAGCATAAAATCACTGAGTTTAAATCCCCAGAACGACCAATCAATCGATGAATAAATGAAGTCATTTTATGCTGATAACTTTCCAATTTATCTATAGCCCAAACCACTTCTGTAAACACAGCAAACTTGAAGTCATCTCCTTTGGTTGCCACAGAGTTCTCAAACTTCATGTACCTACAGTGGAACTTGGTATGCCTTTCAACCTTCATTCTTCTCCTCTCCCTGAATAACATCACCATCTACCTAGGAATCTATGCCCAAAACTACAGGCATCAGTCACAATTCATCCGTTTTTCTTATTCCTCATATCCAGACCATAAATAGTTTCTTTGATTTAATTGTAAATATATCCCTAGTGTCCTGCTACCATCCTGCCCCACATAGCACCTGTCCAGCACCAGTTACTGCAGCAGTCTTCTAACTGGTCGTACATGACTGCTTCCCATTCTCCCATTCTTTCATTCCATTTTTAGCAGAACTGCAGGAGTGATCTTGAGCAGCCCTCTCTTGTCAAAACATTTGTGTTGCTCTCCTTCTAGTCCCAGCCAGTTTCTTCATGATCTGATTGCAGTGTCATCTGTGCCTCTCTTCTCTGGCTTACCATGTCCCATAGCTGGGAGAGTTTTCTTTTAGTTTTTCAGGCAGTGTACTCTTTTCTGTCTTCTTCAAACAACCTTTGCCATTGCAGCCTCTCTGTGTACATTGTTCTTTGAATGGTTAAATCTGTGTTATCCTTTAACTTTTACCTTAGAGACTGTCCCTTAGAGATCTTTTGTGACCACAGATCGCCCTAATTAGAGAAGGTGCCTTCAGTATTTCTTTTGAGGACCTTGTGTTTTTTCTTTTATGGGACTCAGTATAACCTGCACTACTTATGTCTGTAGTGATTTTCTTAGTTTTGTTAATTCTGCTGGAATATGAACGCTATAAAAGCAGGTATCACATCTCTTCTAATCCAGCTCCTAGAACTGTGAGAGTTGAGAAAGGAAAGAGGAAGATGAGGAGAAAAGAAAGAGTTTGCTTAAGGGAACTAATGATACAGCTGAGACTAAAACTTTAGTTACTACTCTTTGGGTAAATAATTCTTATTTTCTAAAATATAACTTTCTTAGAGAATTCAACTCAAGGCATCCTGCTCCTTGGAGAGCTTAAACAACAGCTCTCAGCTGCCCCAGAATGCATATAAATGTTCCACATTGTGACAGTTCCACCAGAATTCAGACTTTGGTGACTTCAAAAATTTGTGTACAGTAATATCAAAGTCTTACATTAATAAATATTTGCAAAATCTTTCAAAGTAATTTTCAAATTTTAGGTTTTTTTTCCTCTGACTTCTCATTTAAGATACAAGAAATGCCAGAGTCAGTGGGAAGTTTTTATATTGCCATCTCAATTTTGATTTTTTTTTTTTTCCTCCTCACAGGAGCCTCATGGATGGGTTGTGGACTTGGTAAATAAGGTATATACTTTTACTAATATGGTCTTATAGTATCTTTTCCATTTTCTAATGACATTTTCCAGAGTTGGGTATTTTAAACAAATGACAGCTACAGGGAATAATCAGAATATTTTCCTAGGGAGATGCAGTTTATAGTTTCCTTCTTCGTGTATATGTGGTATATATAGATGACCCTCAACAGCTTTTGCACTTGGCACATCTGCAGTATACCACAGGAATATTAGAATTACCTTCCTGGTGATTTTCTCAAGACCACTATTATAAAGCACAGTGATAATATGTAGCCTTAGTTCCTTGCTAAAGTCATTAATGTATAGCTTTTCAAAATTAATTTGTGCCTGTTTTCCTTTTAGTTTGGAGAATTAGGTGGATTTGCAGCAATTCAAACCAAACTGCATTCAGAAGATATAGAACTTGGGGTGAGTTCAGTCACTCACTGTTTGTACTTATTGTGTAGTTTTTTTGTCTTGTTTTTTGTTGTTGTTGTGAGGAAGGACAGTTCTTATTATTTTCATGTATAGTGAACCTAATATTCCACTTTTTTTGGTGGTACTAGGGGGTTGAATTCAGGTGCTCGTGTGTACTAGCCAGGCGCTTTACCATTTGAGCCACTCCTCCAGCCAGCTTCTAACCTTCTGCATTTAACCCAGTTGAGTGGCAAGCTCTTTAGCCTTTGCCTTTTCCAGCTTGATAACGCAAGCCACAGATTTTGGACCCAGGATGTTGCCACACAGTGACAGTGGATTCATCCTGTCGTTGTAATTGGTCCTGATAGCTTCCACAAGCTTAGCTAGAGTTCCTTTTTCTTCCGACTCAACCTATGTGAAGGCAACTGTGGTGCATGTCTTCCCGTGGCTGGGACTGACTAGTCTTTCCCTTGATACGTAGTAGGGTCAGGCAGGAATATAATCAACTGGAAGAAAGCATCAGCTGGAGAGCATGTTTTAACCCAAAAGCATTAAGTGCTAACTTGATGGCAGTTGCTCAGAGTTTAAAAGCTCACACACATTTGCTCTTCAGGATAATACCATATGATTGCAGTAAAGTTAGTCTTTAGAGGAATAGATTTGATGGTTGTGATAACTCTTAGTCAAAACCAAATTTCCATGTAGGGTGTTTGTGATTTTTAACCTTACATTTTCCTTTTGCCTATCATATTTTTAGTCTTAATTTGTGATGGAAATGGATACATGAAATTATCTTACTACTTATAGATAGTTGCTATATGTGGCAGGCATATGTGTGCATGCCAATTTTGCGACTCAATTAAATGACTAAGTCAGAATTTATTGCATAGGATTAAACACAAATAAAAATATTTTTAACAAGTTTGTTCAGTAAGCTTTTTGGTATTATAGAACTTACAGATAGCAAAGGGTCATCCATAAATGCAAGTTTAGCATCATTCCTCATGTATACTACCATTATCTTTTCTTCTCAACTTCATTTTCTTAAAGAATTTAACCTTGTGGTCAGGCAAATAACTTTATCTTTAATTTTTTACAGACTGCTGATCTGTTCGTATCTAAGAGAACTTTATTCTGTTAATCTAGTTAATTGTACTGTTTAAAACTATTTATTATGTACTTGGCATGTGTAAAACACTGCTACCTGCTATAATTTGATCAATGCAGAAAATGATGTGGTAAAATAATATACCTATTTGTTGCAAATTATGCCCAGAGGAGCAAAAGTTGTTTCTGTGGGACCATGACTAATTGTGTCCCCTAGTTCCTCTTAATTTTCTTTTTTTTTCTTTTTTGGTAGAACTGGGGTTTGAACTTCATACTTGCAAAGCAGGCACTCTACCACTTGAGCCATCTCTCCAGCCCAAAAGGTTATTTTAGGGTTAAACAGGGCAAGAATTATCCATCTGGTTTTGTCCAGCTTGCTTTGTTTCGTTGTGTGTTGTGTGTGTGGGCCGGGGGGGGGTGGAGAGGACTAGTGGTGTTGGAGTTTGAACTCAGGGCCTCAGACTTGCCAGGCAGGCACTCCACCACTTGAGTCACTCCATCAGCCCTCCCAGTCCCACTTTGGATGAGGGCAGAGCATTGGTCAGGGAGAGAGACTGTTGGTGTGATATGGGTTTATCTTAAAAGACCAGATGTCAGCAAGGTCATTGACACTGGCTGGGGAGCCTCTTCCTTCTCTGGCAGTTACTTAGGCTGTTGGACTATCATTTTGACCCAACTGATTATTGTCTATGTTGAAAATGACTTTATTCACTTAGAAGATAATAGGTAGTGTTTCTTCAGAAACAGGGTTTTATACAGCTTACTTGTTTCTCAAGAACTGATTATTTAGATCATTGGGCAATATCAGAAATTAACTTTATTTCTCAAAAGTATTAAAACACTTAGTCAGGCAAGGTGGCTCGTACCTGTAATCCCAGCACTCAGGAGGCAGAAGCAGGAGGATTTCAAGCTGAAGGCAGTCTAGGCTACATAGCTAGCCCCCATGTCAAAAAAAATCAAAAAGGGAGTGGGGCAGTCAGTCTAGAAAGTGATTTATTTTAAAACAAACAACTAGAGCATCCCCAGATTTCTAGCCTGCTGGAATGAAAATCGGCTAAGGATGTGCACAGAGGACCCTAGATTAAATGTCATAAAATTGAAGGCGCTTCCAGGATTATCCCACTAGACTGTGTTATTAGTTGCAGCTGATGGAGGTTTTCATTGTTTACATTATATTGAGAAATTGATAAACCTAGGCATCAGAGAAAAAGATTGAGAGGTTGAAACTTATTTTAGCAAATAATTATAATTAAAATTTTTGACTAATTAAGAAGGCAGCAGCTATGTCCCAGAATAAATTTAGGCCATATGATATGACAAGACTGAGTAAAAGTCATATATTTTTGAATTTGAAAAACACTGGAGAAAAATTATCATTTACTGTCTCACCAGTTAAAAATACCTGTATTACCTAAAAAATAAAAGTTGCCTGTCCTTCTGCCTCACCCCTGAACACATACCTACCCCCACCCCTGGAAATGGTTACCTATTTAATACATAAGCTCTTGAGTTTATTTTTATATATTGTATAAGATAGGAATCAATTTTATTTCCTTTCAAGTAGGCAACCAATTGTAAGATTCTCTACTGACTAATTCCTCTTTTTCTTACTGTGTATGTTTGCTGGTTTTGTCATGTATCAGAGTTCCATGTGTAAATGAATTTGTTTCTGGACATTTGTACTAGTCATTAATTCACTCTTTAGACTATTTCAGTACTAATTTTCCATTGTTTTAATTATTGTCAGGGCCACTTCTGTCCAGTATTAGTGTTTTTTAGAATCTTCTTGATTGTTCTTACATTCTTATTTTTTTGAATGTAGTCAACATGTCAGGTCTTCCTATGGAAAATCCCACTTAGGGCATGTTTTGAATGATATGAACTGTATAGATCAGTGCATAGAGAATTGACATTTTTACAATACTGGTACTTCCCATTCAGGAACACAATATCTCCCTCATTTATTTGGGTCTTTTGTCAAGTATTTCCATAAAGTTTCATAATTTTCTTCAAATAAGCCTAAGTTGGTTTTTTATTAAAGGCATATTTCACTCCCTCCCCAAACTTTCTTTTCAAAAAAATTGTTTTACTATTCAGTATTACGAACTTCAGAGTCATTTTATCCAGTCCTCCACTCAAATCTAAATTCTGTCCCAGAATTTAGCTTATCTAGTCATTCATTCATGACTTAAATCGCTGTTTGGATTTGATTTTTTGCAAGGTAAAAACCTTTTCACATTTCTTCACTGCCTTTTTCTAGGCCGTCTCAGCACTGATACAGCCCTTAGGAGTGTGTGCAGAGTACCTGAACTCTCCAGTCGTGCAGGTAGGATTAAGCCATATATTGTCACTGCCCAAAACAATCTGACATGCAGGCAGGAATAATTTTCTCTTTTTGAGATTATTCAGGATGATGCTTCAATCCATAGTAACTCTTTATTTTTCAAAATAATTGTTCTTTAAAAAAAAATATTGTCAGAACATAATAAAACATAATTAAAATGTCTAATAATTCAAAGTCTAAAGACTGCTGACAGTTGAGAAGGCTGATTTACTTTTAATCAATAATTTTGTCAAATTAATTTCTTCTTCATTTTACTTATAAAGTAGGCCTCCTTACAGGATTGTTTCAGGTTCATTGCCATTATGGGTTATATTAGATCAGTGTTGCCAGTCAGTCAGGCTTGTCTACTAGCGAAGTCACTCACTTCTGAATAATAGCTTTACTTTCTTGCCTCTGCAGAATTGCAAGTCCAACAAGTCAGAGAATGTTCAAAGCTATGGTATCTAATTTTCTAATGCTAAAGGCAAATTAAACTTTGTTCATTTCCATTTCAGCTGACAAGCTTTATTGAACAAAATGTAACATTGAATACCTTTATTATTTTCTTTATAAATTAAGTCTGTGAAACCTGTAACTTTTAACATAGATTTTTAGAGATCACCATAAACTGTTTTGAAAGCATAATTTAGTCCTTTGGGAGCAGTGTTTCTCTGCACTGTTCTTTCCAATGCTATATATACTTAAGAGTCATTTTAATCAGGGCGATACTGCACTTTCAGTACGTACTGGAAATTTTTTGCCATTTCTAAATGTAAGCTGCTCTTTTAAATATCAAGGTAATAATGTAAGATTCTTTAAAATTTTTTATTTTTGAATTAGCACACATTAGTAATATGAGGGGCGTTCATTATAATCATTCCATGTATATGTACCCTGTACTTTGAAGCACTGCACCCCCTCCCCTCCATTGTATTTCCATTCCTGACCCCTGTTTCAAACAGTGTTTGGTGGGTTTCATTATGCTCTCTTCATACGTATGCATACACAGCATACCTCACTCCTCTGCACTCTTCGGTGTTCTTTCCTTTCATCCCCCATTATAGACAATTCCACTTCTATATTTGTGTCCAATTTTCATAATCATCACTTGAGGTCTAGGTTCAACAAATGAGCCAGAACATGCAATATTTGTCCTTATGATTGCACCATGCTACTCTTAGACATCTGTGCAAAGAAGTCTAATTCAATATATAAGAGAAATATTACACATCCATGTGTCTTTCAGCTGTGTTCACAATAGCCAAACTGTGAAATCAGCCAAGATGCTCAATACCCAATAAATGGATAAAGAAAATATTTTATATGCAGATACATACACACACACACACACAACTACTCAGCCATAAAGAAAAATTATGAAAAACCCTTGTTCCTTCCTATTATTGCTTATACTCTCTCTACAACAAAATTAGAAATAAGGGCAAAGTAGTTTCTGCTGGGTATTGAGGGGGTGGGGGGGAGAGGGAGGGGGCGGAGTGGGTGGTAAGGGAGGGGGTGGGGGCAGGGGGGAGAAATGAACCAAGCCTTGTATGCACATATGAATAATAAAAGAAAAAAGAAAAAAAAGAAAAATTATGTACTTTGCAGAAAATGGATAGAACTGGAGATAATCGTCTCAAGTGATATATTTTAAGATTTTTAAAGTGAGATAGGATGACTGTTCACATTTTCTTCATTCTTTATTTTAAACTTTTTAAAAATACTAAGACATAAAGAGGCAAAGTAATTTGACTTTTAATTTTAAATTATAAACAGATTTTAGTTATAAATATTAATTTAATAACTGACTTTAATAATCAAGCTGAAGATTAGATTTTAGATGTATTCAGCATAAATATTCTAGCTGCTAAATAATTCAGTTGTTTAGAAATTATAGATCATATTTATATGTATATATGCAGGGTGTACTTTAAAAAGAATAAGAAATATTAAAGTAAGAAGCATATATAGGGCTGGATGTGTGGCTCAATGGTAGAGCATCTGTTTTGCAAGCACAGAGCCTTAAGCTCAAAGCCCAGTTCCTCCAAAACAAAAGAGAAGCATGTATGATGTCGTCTTTATTTTTTTTTATACCAACTTGCCCAGACTTAAATTCAGTTACAAATAAATTCATACTGTGATGTGTTCTTTGACATAAATTAGCAATTGTCTCCATCACTTGTTACTTGTGTAACTGTAGAAGACTTATTTAACTTCTGTGCCTCTGTTCCTCCACCTGCAGATGAGTGATAATATTACCTATCTCGGTTGCAGTGAGAAGTTAACAGGGCCTAACACATGCTGACAAAGAGCACTGACTCACCTCTTAATTGTAACAGCCTTCAGTCCTTCCTATAAAATAGGCATAGATGTAGATGAAGAAATTCTACATGGATAATTGTCTGATGTCATTATAATTTGCTACTGATGTATTCTTGGTTCTGACAGCCAGATATTGTCTGTTTTCCTCACCAACTAAGCTTTTTAAATTATGTTACTTATATGGAAGTGGTAATTTAGCTCTAGCTGATATTTTTTTACCACTTCTCACGTGCTGTTTAGAGTTAGTTATCTGTGTTACGCCATTCTGGAGCAATGTGTCATAAGTCTTACCTGTAGGCCTTACTCATATCATCAAGCAAAAGGAGTTTTATGACAGTATATTTTGAGCTTGTATTCATTTTATAAGGTTAAATGCGAAATATCTATTAAAAGGTTAATCATACTTCTGCTTAATGCTTTAAAAGTTAGTCTACATGTCTTAAGTTGTTCTTCAAATTACTCATTAAATGCAACGACAGGAACTGCACTCAAATTATGGTAAAGAAGCTGAGTCAGTTAAGGGATACTGGAATGGTATTAATTAGTTGTGGCACTAATAGTAAAATTCATATTTTTCTTTGCATCCTCTCCCTTGTGAATGGTGGATGGCGAACTAGCTCCTCTTACTCCTGGGCAGATTCAGGAGATTATATTAACTGGCGTTTTATTTCAACAGCCCATGCTAGACCCAGTCATTCTTACTACAATCCAGGATGTGCGGAGCGTAGAGGAGAAAGACCTCAAGGACAAGGTAAATTCTACCTCCAGCCAGGTGGGCTCTAGAGCCAATTAGTTCATGAAAGCAGAGCCAGGACTTGACAAGGTTCCCATACCATTGATCTTTACATTCTGGTCATGTAAGATTCACATGGAATTAGTTTTAGATTTCCTACCAAAAAAAACAAAGAAAATGGTATTTCTGAAATGGCAGTGTTTGGTGTTATCCTCAGTCAGTAGAGTGGATATAGTATTCCCAGCAAGTGACACCATTCAGAATTTAGTTTACTAACATGACTTTAATGGTATTGCAAGAAATATAGTAGAAGATCCTTTAAAATAACGTAGTACTAAAAGAAGCTTGACTGGAGTTGTTTAAAGCACTTACAACATGTAACATGATTTAGCCACCTGGAATTTCTCACAGGACCATTTCCTTCCCTTTGCTGCTCACCAGTGTGGTAAATTTTTATTTAGAAGCAAAATGTAGTTAATTGGCTATGTAAAATAAGTGGTATCTCCAGACTATTATTAACCCTGTATTCTTGTGTGTGTTGTGAGAACTGAGATCAGAATGTTTTTACAGTTCTTCTTTTTATATTTTTATTAAATAAGAGATTGGTTAGCATCCCTGAGCTCTTGTCTGCCATTAAGCTACTTTGCATGCGCTTCCAACCGGATCTGGTGACAATTGTGGATGACCTTCGACTTGACATCCTACTACGCATGCTGAAATCACCACATTTTAGTGCTAAAATGAATTCCCTCAAAGAAGTAAGTTTTCCATTTGTTTCTAGACACAGGCATCTTAGGTCCTGTCAGAACTTGTCATTATTAATATATTAATTTGGGGCACAAAGAATAATCATATAAAAAGAATCATGAATATGTAGAAAATGGTGTATATGTTTATAATTGTCTGTTAGAAAAGTCTTACATGTATTTCAAAATTTGTTCTCTGATATATGTAGTTTCTTATGAAATTTCCTACAGTGTAATCCCTTGTAATATATAGATTAAAGTGTACTTGAGGACATTTCCTTTTATTTTATTTTAGGTATGAGTTTACTCTGTCTTCTAACTGATGTTAAGACAAAACCAAAATGACTATGACAGTGTCGATCTAAGCAGAGTGCCAAGAATAATCTTCTGTAACTTAAACTTTGTACTAGAGCCACGCAAACAATGTAGTTAAATTTGATGAATGCCCAGTGGAGTTGATATAATCCAATTATAATTCCAACTGTTTTTCTTTTAGTTTTGGGTTAGTTCAAATTCTTTTTTTTTTTTTAATTCATATTTGCATACAATGTTTGGGTCATTTCTCCCCCCTTCAAATTCTTGGCTGTAAGTGAAATAAACTCATCTTGAGCCATTTTTGGCCAAAAGAAGAATTTATTAGAAGGAGACTGTACTGTTTCATATGAATGAAAGATTAAATAGCAGACCATGAAAGGGCAAGGACACATATGAATTAGAATTTGAAACCTGGCTCAGCCAAGAAGCTTTCCAAGTCTTGTCTCTACTTTTCTGAGCTCATTGGCCTCAGTCCTTCTTTACCTTCACTTTTATATAGTGAATATAGTGGCCATTGATAGCTCTCACGTTTCATACCTTCCTGTTCCCATCACAATAGAAGGACTAACAGTTTCTAGTTCCAGCTATAAAATTTGGAGGACAAGTCCTGATTGAAGTTTGGTTTAGATGCTCATTACTAAGCTGTTTCAACAGTGGTCCATAGAGTGGGAACTATTAAAATGGTTCCGTGTTCTTTTAAAGGGACATCATAATTAGTCGTTTCTTTACTTCTAATAACTGGCTTTTGATATATTTGGCTAATTTTCATTCTATACTGTAAGTATAAAAATTACAGATTATATGTGTGTATGAAGATTTTGATTGTGTATATTATGTTCCATTGCAATAATCATGTCATTTTTAGGTAACCAAACTAATAGAAGATAGCACATTATCCAAATCTGTGAAGAATGCTATTGATACAGATAGATTATTAGATTGGCTAGTTGAAAACTCAGTTCTGTCAATTGCGCTGGAAGGTAAGTTGCTTTCAAAGAAATAAAAATTACTTAAGTAATATAATTTCATTTAAGATGCAGCATCGTTTCTTTGTGCTAGTCTGTAGTCTCACAGCACGTTGTACTGCTTTGAATTAATAGTCATAGCGCGTTGGCACTCACAGTATCTGGCTTCTTCTCTGGTGTTTCTTCTGTTAGGCAACATAGATCAAGCACAGTACTGTGACCGCATAAAGGGAATTATTGAACTCTTGGGCAGTAAATTGTCTTTAGATGAGCTCACTAAAATTTGGAAGATACAGGTAAGTTGATCAGAATTATTTTTTTCTTTTCCTGATATGTTTAAGACTATAGGAGAGGGAAGAAGGTGGGGAGAGGGTGAGGATTGGGACCTCTGTCTTGCTTTACCTAGTCTATTTTACAGTTTGGAGTTTTTATTAAGATTGCATATGCAAAAAGGGTTCCATACTCCCATAAGTTTCAAACTCCTGATCTAGTCTAATGTTCTCATTTCTTCAATTTAATAATTAAAAGCCTTCCTGAAGGTTGTATGTCAGTTAGTGGCAGAGCTAGGAATAGATTTGTTGTTTTCATTGTATTGTTGTCCATTATATTGTTTATTATTTTTCACTAGTCATTTTTCCTATTTGATCAAATAAATGAGGGTGACAATAATACTGAGCCAGAAACACTCCTTCCTTCTTCCTACTTTCTCATCTCCCACCATTGCCCCTCACTAGCAGAATGTAACAGAAGTATAGTTGGCAGGGTCCCAGGATAGTATTACAGAGCAAACTACAGAAAGTTAGAAGCAAAATTTAAAAACAGAAAACAAAACATTTCTCGAGCCCATAGATTTTACCTCCCCTTTCTTGGCCTTTGTTGAATACCTTCATATAATGTTGTTTTGTGAGTATCCTTACTGAATCCACACAAGACTGAAGAGTAGAGACCATGATACCTGTATTATGTGTCCCCACTAGGTTCAGTGAAGAATTATATGTGCATAATAGAGACTGAGAAATTTTTTAAAAATTGAATTTACAAATATCTCCTTGCCCTTCAAATTTCTCACAGGGTGAATTGAGGCATTACAGTGTCATGATTGAGGTTATTAATCAGAGGTTGTATGAAAATCATAAGTCGACAGTAAGAGCTACAACTCTGATGCAGAGGCTTGCTTACCATAGGATCAGTAAATATTAGTTGAAGCCACAAAATATTTCTAAGCAAAATTTTAGATGGGGCAGATAATACTCTGAACTAAGGCCCTCAATTTGTCTCATAATTTAATTAGTTTGAATTTCTTGTTTAAAAGCATTTTATTTTTCTCTTAAAATGAATGTCAAACTGAGAGCTTGATTCTCATGGGAGTTTTTTTTTTCTTTTTACATTGTCCTTTTAAAGATTTAATGTTGCTAGGAATTTAAATAAGGTCAGCTGATAACCATTAATAATGGTTACTGCATGTAGTCTTGCCAATATTTTTGTGCAAGTGAATGCTGATTAGAGTCAGTTTATCTTTGTTATATTTTTGCTCTTGCTTGTATGAACTGCCAGTGAGTAGACTTAACTATTCCAATGCCTCTCATTTTCTAGTCAGGACAATCATCTACCGTGATCGAGAACATTCATACTATTATTGCTGCAGCAGCTGTGAAATTTAATACAGATCAACTTAATCATTTGTTTGTTCTCATCCAGAAGGTATGTGTTCAGTCAAACTTGTTTACTTTTAAATCTTCCTAAAATTTTTTAAGCTCTTTTAAGCTCCCCTACCCCTGCAAATAGTTGAGTTTAAGTATACTTTTCTTACTTCTTAATGTTTTTAGCTCAAGTTTAAAGTTTTAGCTAATTTCACCAGTTTTATTGTAAAGCCATCCCTGTGTTTTGTTTGTTTGTTGTGCAGAGCTGGGAGACTGAGAGTGACAGAGTAAGACAGAAGCTGTTGAGCTTGATTGGACGAATAGGACGGGAAGCTCGCTTTGAGACCACTTCTGGAAAGGCAGGAGAATCGAATGGATTTTTGTAGCTACAAATGCTTATAACAGTTGTATATGCATGTTGGCTGACTCATCACAATGGTGTTATTGTAGGTGTTAGATGTGCTGTGGGAACTGGCTCATCTTCCAACTCTGCCTAGTAGCCTTATTCAGCAAGCCTTGGAGGAGCACCTGACAATCCTTAGTGATGCGTATGCAGTGAAGGAAGCAATCAAAAGAAGCTACATCATTAAGTGCATAGAAGATATTAAAAGGGTTGGTTTTGTCTTTGGTTTAATTTTGTTGTCAGAACAACAGTATTGACTGAATAATTAGAGCCAATTAATTTTTCTCCCTATTATATAAATTAAACTAAATTTTTTCCTGGAAGCTCTTAACCTTAGAGTCCAAATTTGGGAAGTATAGATAATTGCTTTTGCCAAGTCACTTATATTTCTTTTAAAATGAATTTTCAGCCTGGAGAATGGTCAGGTTTGGAAAAAAACAAGAAGGATGGATTTAAGGTAAGAATTTGCAGATGGAACCAACTAAGAGGTATACTAGTTGGATAATTGCCTTTAATAAGCTGTATCACATTTTTAACATAATATGTTTAGTGTTTCTTATACAGGCATGATGTTTATGAGTATGTCTTATGATTTGAAGGTTGGTAGTTTCCTTAAAGGGAAAAAATTAAGGGTCACATGAGAAGAATAGTTTTATATTATTTTTATGAAATTATAGGACTTTTAGCTTAGCTTTCCTCTTTTAAATTAGATCTAAAGTATATATAATTTTCATAAATGCAGTGGATTCTGAATAACTGTTATGCCCATTTTTTTTTCCTTCTGGGAGAAATGGAGGAGCACTCATAGATAACAGACAAAAAGAAGGGAGGAAGGAAGTTTATTCAGTGCTGGCAAGTAGTTTTTCAAGTGCTTGGTTCAGGTGTGTTCCTCAGTAATTCCTTGGGTGCACAGCCATTGGTGCTCAGTTTTAGAAGGTAGGGCTACATGGCAACCACAAGAGGGATTGAGCTGTCGAAACCCTATCTTTGAGGACTGGCCTCTAATGCTGTGAACTTCTGGAATGTCTTTGTAAATAATAATTAGCAGATGTAGCAGTAATGATTGCAGCACTCCTGTTGCTCCAGTCCTTAACCTCATGTCTCTTCTCTGAGAGATGATTACGGTGGCCAGTGTACTTTCATTGTTAAAGCAGCTCTGAGCAGTGCAGTGTGGTCCTCCCACTTAGCCCTCAGGTAGCCCAGACCAAACTTAAAGCCTAATGGTAAAAGGGATTTCATTTTCTGAATTTCACGTTGTTATCAACATAAGAAAAGGTTTCGGTAAAGAGCTAGTGACTTAGTGGTTCATTGGTCAAACGCATTCCTTGATTTTCATTTTCATGGATATTTCTTTAAAGGAGCTGGAATTCTAACTAATTTTCGTTGGTATTTCAGACTCTAATCTTTGGTAACTTAATGCTTTTTTTCCTCTTGAATTGTATTTGGTCATTGGTCATAAAATTTAGTTGGAGAATTTAACAATGTTATGTTTCATACACTGACACTGAAATTTAATCAAGTGAATTTTCTTGCATTTGATCTACCTTTAGAGATTTTAAGACATTCACAAACTGGAGCTAGTAATGCTGGGGTTATAAGGAATTATTCAATCTTGCTCTTTCCACTCAAACGCAATTTGAATTTTTCTGATTTTCTCAGCTCAATGACTCAGATAATTTAGCAGCCTCTCCTTATGATTGAAGGGTTTTCATCAAGTTATTGAAGGAGTTTAGATCCTTCAGTAGTAACAGGAAGAGGAAAAGGGTCTCTAGAAAAATGATCTTTTCTTCTCAGCAACAGACACATTTCCTTATAGATGTGATGGTGAAGACTGAAGGGACTTTTCCCTCCCTCCACGGAAATGGCTTTTGAAACCAGAAAATCCTGGACCTTTATTTCTCCCTTGTCATAGCTAAGCATTATCTAGTTCTTGTGGTCAGTTGCATCATTGCATCTTTATTGCTTCTCTTTGCAGTCATTTCATTTATGTCTGTTGTTTTATAACAAAACCCCAAAAGTAATAGTGAAAATTCTGGAGTTGTTTTGTGAGACTTGACAGGAGTATTCTTCCTTTTTATTTCCCCACTGCTCCCAGTAATGAAATTCTGGTGTACGTCATTCTCTTCCAAATAAAAATATCTTGTATATTTATATAGCACTTGTCAGTTTACCAAGTGCTTTTACAGTTACTCTCCTAAAGTACACATTGCTGAAGGGGGACAGTGGGAAGATCAAAGCCCTCTGGATATAGCTCCAGGCAGGGGGGTGAAATATTTACTGCACTAAAGGTGTTTTTCTGTGCTATGCCCTTTCCTGCCAGGCAGCAAGGTGGGCTGACTGGGGATTATGTCTCCCTGCCAGGCTACACAGAAACTAAGCAAAGGGTAAGACAAGATCACCCACCTCTTACTCCCCTCCCACCCTCAGCTACCTCTGTTCACCCGACTGGTTTCCCTTCCCTCTGCTTTTGACACTCTTAAAGTTCCACTGTTGTATTCAGAAATTCTGACTTTTATTTCTTAACGTTATTTCTGTAGATTCTGCCAGGGTACCCTTGGCTCCCTTGGTCCTCTTTCTTTCCTCCGCTTCTTTTATACCTTCCACTGTCCATCCCAACCCTTTCCCTCTTATTTCACTTTTTTTCCTTCAATTAAAAAATTTATATGTTCTCATCCAAAAAAATTACTAAACAAAAAAATCCCTTTACCCAGTTAGTTCTGTTTGCATTTCTTAAGTTGTTATCTTTGGACCTCATTGCACAGCGTCTGCTAGGCTTTCTGTAAGCACCAGTTCCCTCCTCTTACTTAGTTCCCTGCACCCTGTGAGGATGCCCACAGCCTCGCTGTACAGGATGAGTATCCCTTATCTGAAATCCCTGGGACCAGAAGTGTTTCAGATTCGGGAGTTTTTCTGATTGTAGAATATTTGCATAGATGTCACTTATTGAGTATCCCTAGTCCAAAGTTCTAAAATACAAAATGCTCCAAAATAAAAAACTTCTTGGAACATGATGATTACACTCGGATTTTTCAATTTCAGAGTTCAGATTTTGGATTAGGGATCCTCAACCTGTACATAGTTGAGTTGCCTCTGTTTGCCAGAACATGTAACACAAAATAAAAGCAAGATGTGTCTCACAGTGATGTGGTTAATAGAGGAGGAAATACCTTTAAAAAGTTCCCTGCTACGCAAAAATTTTTATTTTGGTTCTAAATAAAAGGCTAAGTCTGGAAAAATAAGACAGATGAGAAAGTGGGAATATTCAGCTTTGCGAAGAGAGAAATCCAGAAAGAATAGGAAAGCATTCTCTTAAGTACTCATAGGGTTGTTACAGAGAAGTTTGATTCAACTTACTTTTCATGTCTCTTAAGGAATTCCATGGAGACATGTTTTAATGTGATAGGCCAGTGAACTTTATCATGAGAACAGTTTGAAAACAGGATGCACTGCCTTCTGAGGTAGTATTTCCTCCTCACTGGAAATACTAAGAGACCAGGAAGTAATTTAATAAAAAATAAAGAGAATTTAGACATAAGTTTGCACGTTAAGCCAGTTGACCTCTAAGGCTTTATCTAACACTAAGAGTCTAATGAACATTCATTAACTTCTACTTAGGAAACCTCAACTCTAAGACAGTATCAAATATTTTTATTTTAATTGGTTACCGCAATCTTTAGCAATTGGACAAGAGTAATTTAAATTTTTCTTGTAACTTGGCAATATAATGTGATAGATTAATTGGAATAAATAACCTCTTTCCTGATTGCTAAACTTCAGAAACACTGTATCAGAAGTAATAAATTACCTTCAAAGGATACTTTTCCATGTAAATAAAAACATTCTAACCATAACTGACTTAATTGGTCATAATGATACGTTTAATATATCTGCTTATAGCTAATTCATATTTATATTCTAATTTTTGTAATGTTTTTGGAAGGTATCATTTTGAATGTAAGCGTCACAGTTTTTTGTTGTTTGTTTTGTTTTTGTTTTTGTATTGCAGTACTGGGGTTTGAACTCAGGGCCTTACGCTTGCTAAGCAGACACATACACCACTTGAGCCACACCTCCAGCCTGTTTTGCTTTGGTTGTTTTTGAAATACAATCTTGTGTTTATGTCCTGGTCAGCCTAGACCATGAGCTTCCTGTTTTAAGCTTCCTGACATTGCTGGATGAAAGGTGCACACCACCATGCCTAGCTTTATTGGCTGACATGGGATCTGGCGAGTTTCTGCCCAAGCTGGTCGTGAACTGCAGTCCTCCCAGTCTCCATCCCCCCAGTAGCTAGGATTACAGGCTTGAGCCACCATACCCAGCTAGCCTCACAGTTTGGATCATTGTCATCTTGCAACTTCTTTTATCAAGATTATTCTAGCTTACAAGTAGTTGGCCTTTATATACCTTATTTCTGTGATTCTAAGATGTCAGTAATTCCAGCCTGCATCTCAGATTAATTCTGCTAAAAATAATGAAACCTTACATCTTATTTTTACCAATCATTACTTAGATTCATAGTCAGAGGTTGAATGTAAACCTCTTGTTGACCAGTTATGTACAGCTTCACTGTGGCACACTGGTTATCATTATCTGTAGTAGCGTTTTGTATCTCTCTGAAATCTTTCAGATTAGCTGTATAATTTTGATGCATGTTGAAGTTTTGTGTGCTCATCCTATTTCATAAAACTCAAACTGCTTTTTTCCTGAGTGATGTGATGCTACAAATTTAACAGCTTCTCTTGAAGATTTATCTTAAGATGCAACTTAAGACAGAAGGCGTTGAGTGCTTAGTAAACCAGCCTTTTACAGGGTATAACTCTGTCACACTAACTTCTGGCTTTGAGAAGTACTTTAGTCAGAGACAACTGACAGTTTGCATTTAATTGCATTGGTGAACACAACAGTGTAGTTATTACTGCATCAGATTATATTCTTTTGTGTAACATTTAAGCAACAAATTATGATCCAAATTTAAGTTTAAAAAGCATCCTTGTTTGGTACCACCCATACCAAGTAACAGCTCAACTCAAATGATAAGTAAGTGAACAAAAACCTTTTAAATACAGCTAAGTTTGCACATACTCAAATAGGAACAGCCATCAAAACTTGCCTAGTGACTGATAAGTTTCTTTTGACATATTGTAAGAGTGTCAATCTTAGAAATGTTAATAATTATAAAACCTGTGTCTTAGAATCTAGGAAATACGGTATTTGCTAATTGATTGGCTAATCTCTATGAAGCAAAGAAAACAGTATTGCTTTGGCAGTAGCTTGCAAACATTCACATATTCAGTAGTAAGATGCTTTTCTGCAAAAGACTTCAGAATTATTTTTCCTCCCTATAGGGGTCTTCATTTTGCAGAAAAACTCAATAAAACAGGAATGCTTTAAAACAAAAAATTCAGTCTCCCAAATAAATGCTAAGGACTTAAGCTTTAATTTGTTTTGTTTCTGTTTTTTTGTTAACAATCATTTGATTAATAGTGTTTAATCTGGTGATGTTACCATATTTTATAAGGAAATTTCATAGTTTGAAAGATACTATTTATTAAAAAACAATTCTCAAAGAGAACTACATGAACATTAGACTATATAGATCTGTACTGCAAAGACCTGGATTGTCATGTACCAGTTTCAGAAGTAACACATTTGGAAGTGAAAAATCTAAAGAAGATATCTGTAATAATAAAAATAGGTGTGGAGTATTTTGGGGAGTGCGGTGAGGTTTCGGGGATTGAACCCAGGGTCTCACACATGCTAAAAAACACATGTTCTACCTCTTGCTGCACCATCCAGCCCCTTATAATACAAATAGAGTTACCTCTTACAAAATTGTAACTAGGAATATAAGCAGATCATATTTTCTTTAATATTTAGACCATTGTCAATATCGCTATCAGATCATTGGTAACTTCATCATATAGTTAAAGCCATTTTCTTATTCCATTTTACTTATCAACCAATTCAGTATTAAGCTTGAGCCATAAACTTATTTTATTGTATCAACATGTCTTAGCAGCCCTATGCTACTTAATCTATCCTCTGAAGTTGCTAATTCCTTGTTTGTTTTTTGCTGATGTACCCCTGTACATTTACTGTCACTTCACATCCACTCCTGTTTGCAGTTCTTGGCCTTAAGAAAGTGCATGCAGAATAAGAAGTTGAAGAATGAATTATGAATGCATGGAGATAAGCTATAAATGAGCAATATGAAGAAGAAAGTAATAGAGTGTGTAATAATAAAACCTAATTGTCTTGGAAATGTTTATAGCTAATAAATGAAGCTGCCATTTATTTCTACACTTAATTAATGTAACTTCTTTTTAACTCTAGTCATCTCAGCTTAATAATCCCCAGTTTGTGTGGGTGGTACCAGCTTTGCGTCAGCTCCATGAAATCACCCGGTCATTTATAAAACAAACCTATCAAAAGCAAGACAAGGTAAGAATATAGATACTTTTGATTACTCTGGCTAATTGCATAGCCTTTTATAATAACAAAACATGTCTAAAATTATTGTCATATAGCTTTATGATTATTAACATTATTGATTTATACCATTTGATAATCTTGAATTTAAGCATCATTCTGCTTTCTTTTTTATTTGCTTAATTTGCTGAAATTATTAAACCAATTTTTAAAAATTGGAATAGTAGTTTCAAAATTTGTTTTTTGTTGTTGTTTGTTTGTTTTGGTGGGACTGAGATTTGAATTTACGGCTTCATGCTTGCGAAGCAGGCGGTTTACACCACTTGAGCCAACCCTCCAGTCCATTTTGTTCTGTTTATTTTGGAGATGGGGATTTTGTGGACTTTTGGCCTGGGCTGGCCTCAAACTGTGATCTTTCTTGTTTCCGCCTCCAAAGTAGCTAGGATTACAGGCATGAGCCCCTAGCATCTGGTCCACAAACTTGTTTTGTATTGCAAAATGATTACTTTGTCCAAGGAGCTGTAGCTTTCTCAGTGTAATAGACTTGAGAAGAAAGCTGAAAAAGTGACAAGAAGTGAAATAGCTCTTTTTAAAGATTTTTTTCTTTTATTTTTTGAAAAAAGATAATGTCTCTTAGAAGCAAAAATGTTAGTAGACAAGTATTTTAGCTTCCTAATAAATGTACATAGCCAATTGATTTTTATTTACTGTTACATAGGAAATGTGAGGAAATCCTTGTTTGCTCTCCTACTAGGAACGTATCCTAAAATAGAAGCTATATTAAACCAACAGAATAACTGAATTCTCATGCCACTTTTTTTTTTGTTTTGCCAAGAGCATTATTCAAGACCTGAAGAAAAACTTTGAAATAGTGAAATTAGTAACAGGAAGTTTGATAGCTTGTCATCGACTTGCGGCAGCTGTGGCTGGGCCTGGGGGCTTAACTGGTTTGACACTAGTGGACGGCAGATACACTTACCGGGAGGTATCAGGAACTGTTTTTGCTTCATGATTTTAAGCATCATTTTATCTTTTTGTACTCAAAATGTGAGAGTAATATTTATTGGGTATAACTATAAAGAGTAGCATAAGCTGTCTTTGTAATGATTGGAACAGTTTTGTGTCTTGAAGTCTAGCAGATCACCTGAGAATTACATATGATAAAGTAAAAAAAAAATCTTTTCTTTGTCTTTGAAGTGATAGTTAATTCTGTGGATAATGGGTTTTGCTTTTTAAATCAGCTAATCAGTAATGTTATTTTTAAAAAAAAATCTTAACTTGACAGTTGTAAGTTTGTGGTGTTTTACTTTGAGATTACTGAAGTTAAATTTTATTGACATTTAAAATCAACTGAATTTATAATAGATTTGAGGTAGCTTCTGTTGCATTGTACTATCAGCTAGGAAATAGATTCCTCACATTTACTTTACTGTCAGTTACATGAAAAAGATTTAAGCAAACCTGTTTTGTTTTTGTTTTTGTTTTTTAATTTTAAAGTTTTGTTTAAATGTTTGCTTTAGGTATGAATAATGCCTAGAGTTAACTGGTTTGTACTATTTCTCTTTGCAGTATTTAGAGGCACATCTGAAATTTCTGGCGTTTTTCTTGCAAGAAGCTACACTATATCTTGGGTGGAACAGAGCCAAGGAAATCTGGGAGTGCCTTGTCACTGGCCAGGATGTTTGTGAATTAGATCGAGAGGTAAGAAGGTAGGATCGTGGCTAAGTAAAACAGATAAGTTTGAATACTATACTCTAGTATGTCTCACATTTTTTTGTGTGTCTCACATCTTGAATTTCCAAACAGTTTTCAGCTTACATAGCATAAAGCATATAGACTCAGAACTATAAGTGCTGAAAAATGTTTTTGTGAAATATATGTCCTCAATATAAATAAATGTGTGAATTCTTTGATAATTTTTATACCATTCTGGGTAAAATACCAAATTCAACCAAGTGAGCAAAGGTAAAGAACTGTAGGTACATTCTAGTGTTTTTTCCCCAATTTTGAAACTAATTTTAAATTAACTACTAGAAAAGTTTGAGTTTCCTAAAATGTTATTGTTTCCCAGAAACAATAAAGAAAAATCAATTAGTCAAAAATGAATTAAACTAAGAACAGAAACAATTGCTTGGATGCTTGCTAACAAGGAGTCTCATTTCCTCATGTCATTTTACGGAATAATATTAACTACTGCATAGGATTATTAAAAGGACTAGTATGTGGTAGTGGTTAGCACTGTGCCTGACACACAGCCAGGCTTAAATAAATATTGGTGGGAAAAGCCAAGTATAAAACTCAGTGGAAAGTGTGAGTACATATTTTGATTAAACAAAGAAAACATTGCTAGCAGCTGTTCATTTAGCTGCAGAGTTCCATGCATTTCAGTTTTAAGTGGTGTTCTGGCAATTATACAAATTTTAGAAGTATTAAAAATAATGCCTTTTACTTTCCCAGTGCTCAATGCATTTTTGTCTGCAAAGGATTTTGGTTGGTTAGAGGTCACTGTCTATCTTAATCCACAGATGTGCTTCGAGTGGTTTACAAAGGGGCAGCACGATCTCGAGAGTGATGTTCAGCAGCAGCTCTTCAAGGAGAAGATTCTGAAATTGGAGTCATATGAGATCACTATGAATGGTAATCAAAAACTTCACATTATTTCAGTTTTTCTTTTTTTCCCACATATCTCCCCATTCACAAGACAGACCAGGCCCAGGGCCTGGGCTGTTAGGTATATGGGTAGGTTTACTTTGCCTCCTGTGGTCAGTGCAAGAACACAGCATGTGGTAAGCACCAGGAGGCCTATTTCAGTTTTTTAGAATAAGAAATTTTATTCTTTTCTTTCCCTCTAAGCCTACACTTCTCAGAAACAACTAAACAGTTTGGTATATCCTTGTAGAATTTTCTGTGTGCATATGAAGATATATTTAGATATATGCAAATGAATTTCTTTTTATGTAAGTGCTGTCATTATCTTGATAGGTGAAATTGCTAAGTTAACTTTTTTAAATTTATTAGAACAAAAGGATTCATTAAGGTAAAAATATAGAACATCCCCTTTCTGTTGTTTCTTTTAGCTGAATTTTTTTATTGAACTACAATTCATATACCATAAAATTTCCTTTTTCAAAGTATACAATCAGCGTCTTTTACTGTATTCCCAAAGTTGTGCAACCTTCACTACTTTCTAATCCCTAGAATTTTTTATCACCCCCAAAAGAAGTCCTGGACCATCAACAGTCACTTTCCATTCCTCCCTTACCCCAGCCTTTAATCTGTTTCTTTCTTTATGATAGCCTAATCTGGACATTTGATATAAATGGAATCATACTGCCTATGGTCTTTTGTATTGGGCTTCTTTGGTTATAGTTAAGGTTTAATGTTTCAAAGCTCACCCAGGTTGTAGCATGTAACAGTACTGACTCCATTGTATGTCTGTGATAGTCCACTATATACCATATTTTGTATGTCCATTCATTAATTGATGAACAGTTTGTTACCACTTTTGCCTGCTATAAACATTCATATATGAGTTTCCGTGTTTTCATTTCTTATAGGTCTATATCTCAGTCAAATTGCTATGATAACTAATTAACCTTTGAGGAGCTGCCAAACTATTTTACAGAGTGGCACCATTATTTATTTACTAGAAAAAAATAAGGCACATTTGAATGTAATCCCACCAGTAATACATGAGGGTTCCAGTTTCTCCACCTTCATCAGTGTTTATTATTGTCATGCCCTTTTTTTTTTTTTTTTTAAGACATCCTAGTGGATATGAAATGGTTTCTTTCCATTTTCATTTGCTTTTCCCTGGTGAATGATACTGAACATCTGTATTCAAAATTTTTTATTGGCTATTTATATATTAAATCTTTTGCCCATTTTTTGATTGGATTATTGTCTCTTTATTGTTGAATTGGATGAGTTCTTTATATATTCTGGATTCTAGATCCTTTTCAGATAAATAATTTGTAGGTATTTCTGTTCTGTGTGTTGTGTCATTTCTTGATAGTGTCTTTTTGAAGCACAGAAGTTTTAAATATTGATTAAGTTCAATTTACCTATATTTTCTTTTGGTGCTTGTGCTTTTTTAAATTTTATTTTTGTTTTTCATTTATTTATCTTTCTGAGATGGGGCCTGGGTATGTTGCCCATGTTGGTCTCAAACTCCTGGACTGAAGCACTTCTCCCACCTCAGTCTCTGCAGTAGCTAGTCCTTGGAGGCACACGCCGCCTCACCTGATTGCTTGTGCTTTTGATCCGTACCTAGTAAATCATTGCCAAGAGTTTTGTGGTTCTTAGCTCCTAATCCACTTTGAGTCTTCATTGGTATCTGTATTACTTAGAATATATGAATTTACCTTATATTCTATAATTTCAGGTTTTAACTTATTTAAGACTTTTTTTGAGAATGTAAATCTTTGTGATCATCGATTAAAAAGACAAGGAGCTCAGTTGGTAAGTACATTGAGGAAGACAAGGGTTTGGGGGAGTGGAGGGAGGTTAAAGAAAGAGCTTCCTTGCTTGCCGATTTGTACAATATGGCAGAGCCACCTCTTTAAGGACACTGGAGGCTTGTATTCAGCACTGCCTTACCTCACCATTTCTAACAAGGCTTTCTTTGCTTGCTGATCAAAGGGCAACTGTGGCCTCCTGTGGCTAGGTGACTGTTGAGGGGGAGTAGTTCCCCATCTAGGCTTCTAATTAACAAGACAAACATGTAAAAAAGTAACAGAATCTTCACTCCTAGGATCTCAATGGCAGGGGTTGCAGAGAAAAATTTAGGAACAGTAAAGCAGGAAAAAAGATCTATAGAACGTATACAGTTTATGTTTATATTTACATGTATCCTTTAAAAATAAAAGCAAAAACATCTTTTTCAGAGTCCTTTTCATTTATATCCTGGCTTCCTAGGGTGGTTAGAATATTCACAAGATTTTATAAGCCCTGAATCATGCTATTTCTAACTGAACTTTGGAAGACCAAATTAAGCTCATAAATCAGTGACTATTTCTAGCTTGACATTATTTCCTTTTGAGAAAAAGCTCACAAAAATGGTGCTCATCTGTCTTCTGCATGATTTCTGTGTTAATACTCTTCTGGTAGATGTCCACTATACCTATCCTAGTAGCCATGGAGGTGATTCATTGCTTTTGTGGTTGGTAGTTTCTGTTTTAAAGTTTCATACCGTTACAATACTTGTTTTCATATATAGCTGACTGTTTGTAGCCTTAATTCATATTGAACTGAAGAAGCAGACTTATGATATAACAAAAAGTTATTATCTATAATTTTGTGATACTGTTGTGCTATAGAATTTATATATAATGTAATTTTTTAACAGTATGTAGAAAAACTGGAATTGATTGGAATGGATTTCATTTGGAAAATAGCCATGGAATCACCTGATGAAGAAATTGCTAATGAAGCTATTCAATTAATCATAAACTATAGTTATATTAATCTAAATCCTAGGTTAAAGAAGGTGAGTATCCAAGGAAAAAAGTTACTCATACTCAGAAACATGGAAAATAAATGTATCTTTTTATTGATAAGTTGTAATCCTCAGCATGCCCCCAAACTGGTTTATTTTATTTTAATATTTGTCCTGAATAATGATGAAAAGCAAATGCCAAAGCCTCATCTTAATTTCCATGTATCTCCTACATTCAGGATTCAGTGTCTTTACATAAGAAATTCATTGCTGATTGCTACACAAGATTAGAAGTGAGTAACAAATTTTCTTTATCCTGTCTTGAAAATGAATGCTTTTCCTTTTTTAATTTTATATTATACTATGTAATGCTGATGTTTGAGTTCCATCTCCCCATTGAAGAATGTATCAGAAGTACCATAGTAAGAAACCCTGATCTAGAATTATTATTTCATGTTTAACAGGTATAGGAAACAGACACTTTCCATGATGCCCAATTATAGAAATATACTTTATAGGAGATCTTTCCTTCTTTCCCCCACTCCCTCCCTTCCTCACTCCCCCCACCTCCCTTTTGAGATATAAGGAACTGTGTTCAGGAAACAAGTCTGTACATTCCACATTTCTGATAGTCTTTTTTCCCCTTTTACATCCAGGAATTTTATATAATCACTTCCTTTTTTGTTCTTCTCCATGTTTTGCGTCGTTTCTATAATAAATGCTATTAAAGATGATAGTAGGACACTTGGTAGTCTGTGGTATTAGTTGTTTGTGTCCATTAGAAGTTGTTGTTTGATACCTCAAATTTATTTCCACTGCCTTATTTCCAGCATGATCTGTAAAGCATTAAACACTTATTCTCAGGTGAAATTTGTGCTTAAGTTTTATATCCAATATAGGGTTACAGAGCATAAAATGTCATTGTTCCCTAATCTTCCTGGTGGTAGATACATCTATGTGGTATTTCCCAGATTGTGACTTCCATCCAAATATGTCATCATAAAACATTCAAATTGCAAGTGTGAAGCCCTGAGTTCAAACCCCATCCTCCCTCTCCAAAAAAAAGAAAACAAAAATAAAAACAGCATTCAGTACTCCTATATGAGGTACTATGTAACTATTAACATATGTAAAGCAGTAGTTCTCAACTGGCTCTATATTTTGTCTACAGTGGGTCATTAAGTAATGTCTGGATACCTTTTTGATTGTCACAACCAGAAGGGGTCCTGCTACTACCTAATGGGGAGAGGTCAGGGACCCTGCTAAGCATTCTGTAGTGCCCAGGACTGCCTGCCTTCTGTAAGAAAAAATTGTTTAGCCCAGAGTGTCAGTGCAGGTTAAGAAATCCTGATACAGAACTATTATTTCATGTTTTATAGGCAGCCAGTTCAGCACTTGGTGGCCCCACTCTAACACATGCTGTGACTAGAGCAACAAAAATGCTTACAGCAACAGCCATGCCAACTGTAGCAACATCAGTTCAGTCTCCATATAGGTAAGTGGTTACAAAAATGAAGGCAAATATTCACATAACACAGAAATATATTTAATTGGTTCCTGTTCCCCCAGTTCTGTCTCTTAATTATTAGCTTCCTCATTTTATGTCATAACCTTTGCAAGCAGTTGTATCTTGTGAAATTATATGTTCCCCAAAATGCACCTCCAAATCTGTATCTCAAAGATCTGTGGGTTATCACCAAAACCACCCAAATACTGCTTTGCTACTACTCTTCTGCCTTGTAGACATGTTCTCTTGTTTTTTATTTATTTTGTAGTATTTTATTCTGTGAAACTTGACTAACCTACTCTTAAGAATGATGGAGTGGCTCAATCAGTAAGAAGGCCTGCATAGCAAGCATGAGGCCCTGAGTTCAAACCCCAGTGCCATCAAAAAATAAATAAATAAATAAAATAAAGATATATTCATTGTACAAACAATAATCATAACTAGTTAAAATATTTACCTAAAATTATTTTTTTTAATAATGTTTGGTGAGAACTTTATCCTCAAATATTTGTATTTGCACTGACATCGTCGCTTACATATACTGCTACTTTTAGAGTTTTTAAATATAATCAGTGAACTCTTGAGTTTAATGTCTCCTTTAGTTCTTTAAAGCAGAAAGGAGAAATGGTGTATATTTAGGAACATTAAACTGAAGTAACTAAAAGACTTTTGTGGGACTTCAAACCTTTCATGACTGGTAAGCAGCATCAAATCATTAATACCCAGGAAATCTTAGATGGTGCGCAGAGACTTGCTCTCTGCGTATTGCTCTGCTGCCCTCTGGTGATGGCATACAATCTATCTGTACTCCTATATCAACTTTTATTTACTTAGTTTTATTCGCTATTGGCAATATTGGTTTTTGTTTTGTTGTTTTTTTGTTTTTCCAAACCTTCCTTTAAAGGGGGAATCAAGACAATGTCCTTGCCCATATTCTTCTTAAGCCATTTTTTAAATGAGTTGAGTATTGAGTTGCTGTACTTTGTTAATATGAAAGAAGGAAACAAAATTCAGCCCCCTTAGACTTCATTTTTAAGTGGCACTCACAATGAGAACACTCATGTTTCTCCCGTTCTTACATTCTTGCAAGTATATTTCAAATACACTTCGCTAAGCAGTTGTATTGAAGAAGAAAAAAAGAATTTGTATTAAAGATTCCTTATTACATGTTCGCAAATGTAGTCTGTCTCTGTTACTCATTTCCTTAACTATTCATTAAATGAATGTGCTTTTTTTTCTCTTTACTAAAAACTTTTTATTCTGAATCATTTCATATTTGGCTGACTATAGGGAAAAAACACATAATAATTTTTAAATATTCATATTGCAGACTTAAGTAGAGTTGATAAGTACAATTTCAAAGTGGAATTTGAACCAGAATATTGTAGTTTCTTATTTCACTTCTTTTGAAAGAACTTTTCAGTATCCAAAATTGTTCCAATTTACAGAAGGATGGATTATTCTTTCATTTGTATAGTATTTTGTAATACTGTCTGTAATTTAATTAATTATTGAGACATAATTAAAACAGTTCACTCAATAATTCACTCATCTATTATAGCACTTAAATATTTTTCATCTGAATTTTAAGTTCTGTGTCTGCCCATAGAATGGAAGAATGTAGAACTAAAACATGTTTATAGTAATATCAAAATGTGTTTAAACAATTGTTTTTAAAGTGGAATTTCCAGTATTGCTAATCAGTGTATCAGTCCAATTGTTAGAAAAAATGGTAGTTCCTCTTTTCAGTTTTAAAAGTAGACATATTTGAAATGACTAGACTTTTTGGAATAATGATTGTTTAAGTGCATTCGGATTTTTTATTTCCTAAAGTTAATGCTTGTAGTTTTCTTTAGTAAAGTATGAAGCTCTTGAGGATACTGATTTTTTTTTCAAAGCCTTTGTTTAAAAGAGAAATTAAGACAATGTTCTTTTTAGTCTTTTTAAAAATGAATTGAGTTCTGTGTTGGTTATATTTTGTTTTTACAAGCTGTTCAATATTGTAACCCTATTATTTCAAATAGTAAGAATCCATAAGTCTTCAACCAAAAGACATACCAGATTTCATTTTCAAATTGCAGCTTTTACTTTTGGTACTTACTGATTTTGCATTTGTCTTCTAATTTTCAGGCAATTCAGAACTTTGTCAGATTCCATGTATTTACAGAATTTTATGGCATATTTTAGTTGTAAGATTGTGAGAGTCAAACTCTCTGATTGTTCATTCTTGGTGGATTGATGGACAAATAGGCCTGAAGACCCAGATCCCCTATTTATGGAGCAACTGTTTAAAAAAAGAAGAAAGGAAAAGGAGGCAAACATGGGGAGGGGCAGGCTTCTCCTCCCTTATTCCATTTGTGCACTACAGCTGTGAACGGGTTGAACCCCTCCTCAATTGGGTGAAAGGGAAGTTTAATGTTTGCAAATTTCATTTTTGACCAGTGATTGCTGACTGTGATTGTGGTTTTGGTGAAACAAAGTAGAATTGAGCAGAAATCAGCAATTCATTTCAAATACATTTAAAAGCTCTTTTTTTACATCCATAGATCCACAAAACTTGTGATAATTGAGAGATTGCTGCTTCTGGCAGAACGCTATGTGATCACAATAGAGGTATGCCTCGCCTCTTTTTAGAGGGACCTCATCCATCATATTATTAGACGAGGTGTGTTAGGTGTGTGTTTTTGATGTTTTATAGTGGAATGGTACATCTGACTTGGTTGTCTTACATCTTTCTCAAGGATTTTTATTCTGTTCCACGAACTATTCTACCTCATGGTGCCTCATTTCACGGACATCTTTTAACTCTTAACGTTACCTATGAGTCTACCAAAGATACCTTCTCTGTAGAGGTAAGTTTACATTAAGTTATGTAGCCATTTTCATGTTATTTTCGTAAGAACAGTGTTGATAGTGATAGTTGCATGATAGAATAAAGACCTGAAATGAAACTATAGAAACTATAGGGTAGCAAATAGATAGACACATACATAGATACATACATACATACACATAACATGATGCCAGGTGGTGATATGTGTCATAAGGGCTAAGAGCAAAGCAGAATAAGTTGGTATAAGGTGATTGGTATGCATGAGATATTTTAGATAAAGGTGGTTCTCAGGTGGTGCCATTTGAGTAAAGACTTGAATAAAGTGGCAGAGTAAATCATACTTGCTTAGACTACTCCAAGCAAAGGAAGCAGTAATTACCAAGGTACTAGCAAGGTGGCTGGCAAGGGTGGAACACAGTGAGAAAGGGAAGGGGTAGCAGGCACTGCAGGGAAAGAAGGGTACAAGATTTTATACCCACACGGTAGAGAGGGATGGGGATGGTGTTGTGGAGTACAGCCTTTAGGAGTGGCAACAGAAGGGAGGCCTCACCAGGACAGAGCCAGCTGTGTTCCCAGCTTCTGAAAAAGTGCTTGGTACATAGTAGGTGTTCACTAACTGTTGTTTAAAGAGATAAGTAAATGAATTCTTTCATACCAGCGTGGGGTTTTATTTTGCAGGCCCACAGTAATGAAACCATAGGCAGTGTCCGGTGGAAGATAGCCAAGCAGTTGTGCTCTCCTGTGGATAATATACAGATATTTACGAACGATAGTCTGGTAGGTTTAAATAATAGTTGGCATTTTAGCCTGATGGGAATACTTTTCTCTTCCTTTCCCTCTCAGTAATTAAAAAACACTTTTTGCAGCTGACAGTGAATAAAGATCAAAAGCTCCTTCACCAGCTGGGCTTTTCTGATGAGCAAGTCCTTACAGTAAAGACCTCTGGCAGTGGGACCCCCTCTGGGAGCTCAGCAGACTCCTCAACCAGCTCCAGCAGCAGCAGCAGTGGGGTTTTCAGTTCATCATATGCCATGGAACAGGTACAGAGGAATCAACCTCAAATCAGACAAGCAATATCTTTTTGTCTCCAGCTCGTGTGTACTTGGATGATGATGTCCTTTTCCTCTCAGATAATTTTGACTCTTCACAACTGTGTAACTGAAGACTGTTGGGGTTCAGATGGGAGGAGAATATGTATAACTTAGTTTTCTGAATCTCAGAACTTTCTAAGCACTGAGTCCTCTGCCTAGCCACTTAATACCCTTTCATACATCTCTCTTCATTGAGTGATTGATTTCTTCCCTCTCCAGTGGGTCATCCCATTAGCATTCAAATGTGTCATGTTAGCCATCTCATAAAACTTCACCCCAATTCCACCTTCAGTTACTGGCCCCTTGTCGCCTTCCCAAATCAGTAAAACTCCTTGAAAAAGTTATCTATACTTGTTTCCATCTTCTTTCATCCTCTCTTGAAAAAGTGTCAGGCTCTTTTCCAGTTAATGTGTCTCCTCTATCACTCAATCCTCATTTTTGATGTTTCAGGGGAGTTGATATCTGTGATCACTTCCCCTTTTTTTTTTTTTTTTTAGTAGTTAATATGCATATTTTATTTTTCTTTTTCTGGTTTGTGGGATGGAACTTCTCTCTCATGCTGGGCAAATTCTCTACCATTGAGCCACACCCCCAGTCCTAATGTGTTTTTTTTGTTTTTTTTTTTTTACCCAGTCATCCCACTCCTGGGGTTATATATTTTTTTTTTTTTATTATTCATATGTGCATACAAGGCTTGGTTTATTTCTCCCCCCTGCCCCCACCCATCACTTCCCCTTGAAATACTTTCTTCCCTTGGCTTTCAGAGCTTGCCTGATTCCTCCACCTCTCTGCTGTTCTTCTTTTGTCGTCTTTGATGATTCCTCTGATCTCTGTACAGAGGCGTTTCCAGGCATAATCCTTGGACCTCTTTTCTATGTTCATTTCTCTTAACTTCACATATTACATATTACATATACATTGAGCCATCTGCTGACTCAACTTCTCCCCAGTAGTTTTACACCCAGGGTTGAGATCCTGATCTCTGGTTTCTCACCATCTTTACCCCTACCCCAAATCTCTTCTTGGGTAAAGGCATCTCTATTCTTCTAAGTTGCTCCTGACAAAGTCCTTGGATCTCTTCTTTTTCTCACATCCATACTCATCAGCAAATCCTTGACTACCTTTAAAATACATCCATAATCTAACTACTTTTCTCTGCCTGCACAGCTTCCATACTGGTCTGAGCCCTCCCTGGGAGGGAGTATGTCCTCTCTGGTCTCAGCTTCTGCAGTATGCCAGTTATCCCTTCCCTATAGCAGCCCAATATGTCAAATTATGCCACTCCTCCACTCTCCCCAGTGTCTCCCGTATTTCTCGTCCTCATTGGGAGAGCCTACCTGATGTATCCCTCTGGAACCTCTCTGAGGCCCTCTGCTACAGCCCTCCCCTTAACAGCTCTCAAGTTACATTCACCCGTATTAGTTCTCAAATACAGTAGGGCCTGTGCATTTGCTGTTCCCCGGGCCTGAAAATGGTCTTTCCAGTGTTCTCAAGTAGTTCACTCTCACTTCAGCTTTTACGCAAATGTTGCCTTCTCAGTGAGCCTTCTGTGACAATACTGTCTAAATTTTCAACTTCATTCCTGTACTGTTTTCGTTTCCCTTCTCTGCTTTATTTTTTCTTTAGCATACTATAAATTTTATTTGTCTTATTTATCTGTCTCTCCTCCAGTAACATGTAAGCTTCACAAGAGCAGACTTTTGTCTGTTGTTTCCTGTTGCATCCCCGACACCTGAAACACTGCCTAGAATATGTGAAAGCGTGAGCACTGTTGCATTCCTAAAAGCCTTTTAGTGGCCATCCTCTCAAAACTAATATTTGTATTGTTTGTAAGTTTGATTGGAAAAGAAGAAAATTCCTCTGGAGGTGTGTCTTCATAGTGTGCTCTTTCCCTCAGGAGAAATCCCTACCTGGTGTGGTGATGGCTCTTGTGTGTAATGTGTTTGACATGCTGTACCAGCTGGCCAATCTAGAGGAGCCAAGGTAAGTATAGCAGTTGTGAGGCTCGGAAAAAAAAAGTTATTAAAATTAATGAGCCAAGTAACCTGTCACTTTTTAATGTATTTGTTATACGATCCATACTAAATGTCTTTATTATCATTATAATTGTGGCTTATGTGGAAGAAATTTATACCTGAAATTTTTTTCAGGATAACTCTACGAGTACGAAAACTTCTGCTCTTGATACCCACGGATCCTGCCATTCAGGAAGCCCTTGATCAACTTGATTCTTTAGGCAGAAAGGTATGCACATTTTCCATAGTTACTTAACTAGCATGTGGATTTTATGTCATGACTCCATGAACATACAGTGTGAAAGCCATATGATAACATCTTTCCCATGATATTTTTTCTTCTTCTGAACAATACCTTTGCCATAAATGGATACCAGAACTTCATGGTGATTTTTAAAGTATCCAGATAGAGTCAGTAGTGATAGAGAGAATTTCAGTCACTAGAAGAGCCTTTATTATCATCTACTTCTCCCACTTCCTGAATATGAGGAACCTGAAGCCCAAAGAGATGCAGTTACTGGCCAGGGGTCAGACTCCAGTTCTGATTCTGTGGAGACGTTTTTCTTCTCATGATGCCTCTCTGCCTGATTATTGGGTGTCTAAGCTGTTTATATAAAAGGATTATTGTTTTTTTCACAAGTGACTTTTGAAGTTCATTTTGACTGGGTATGTTGGTACACACTTGTAGTCCAAGCACTGAGGAGGCAGAGACGAGAGGATCATGAGTTGGAGGACAGCCAGGGCTACATGGTGAGTTCAAGGCCAGCCTGAGCTACACTGGGAGAACCTGTCTCAAAAAAACATGTGCTGGGGACATAGCTCAGTGCGAGACCCTGGGTTCAATCCCCAATACCACAAAGGAAAAAAATAGTAATAATAATAATAATAATAATGAAGTTCATTTTGCTTATTTTTTTAGAGTATTGTTCCTGAAGAGATTTATGTGGAGAAAAACTATTTTATCTGTCATAGTGTTTAATTATGTTCTCAGAATAAATTCATTTAGAACAACTAAGTTTTGTATTTTGTATTTTAGTGGTTAAAATTTATATTCGCTCAGTCATGCCATCTGTGTCTTAGGTATTGGGAGAAAACTAATGTAATTGTAAAATGCATCATTAATATTACCTAAAAGAAATTCTTAAGGCTACTACTTCAAGTACTGGGACTTGTACCCAGGGCCTTGAGCTTGCTAGGCAAGCACTCTTATCACTTGATCCATGCTCCCAGGCCTTTTTGTTTTGGTTTGTTTTAGTTTTTGAGATGGAGTCTCACTACCTTTTTCCCAGGCTGACCTTGTGATCCTCCTACCTCTGCCTCTCTAGTAATTGGGATTACTGGCGTGTGCTACCATTCCCAACTCACTACTAAATTTTAAACATGGAAAAACATTAAAATGACTTCCTAGTATTGCTTAGAGTAAGTTCTTAAAAGCATTCATGTTATACTTGACTACCATTGAACTTAATTGTGTGGTGAAGTTGGTGTTTTGCTAATAATTACAGAATTATGTGCTTTTATGATACCAGTTTTCTAGAAAACTTCACTGTATTACATTAAAAGGAAAAAGAACATTAGAATATGCACTGAGGTCTGTTTCTCTGATTTGTGCTTTTAAGACATTTCTTCATTCTTCCATTCTTTCAAACTTAGAAAACATTGCTTTCTGAAACAAGTTCTCAGTCTTCAAAGTCTCCATCCCTCTCTTCAAAGCAACAGCATCAGCCAAGTGCCAGTTCAATCTTAGAAAGTCTGTTTCGATCTTTTGCTCCAGGAATGTCCACCTTCAGAGTGCTCTACAACTTGGAAGTAAGAAACCCTTTCATTTCATTTTGACAAATTGATTTTGGTTTGCATATTTACACTCACAGGTGCCAGAAACAAGTGAGGCAAAGATTTATTAAGGGATAATCTGTTAGAAAATTAGGTTAGAAAAATGGATAAGTTGAAACTTTTAAAAATTGGCACATCATTAGATATATATAGTTGGTACATTGTGACATTTACATAAATGCTTACACTAAATCTTAGATTCACCCCCCTCCCTCTTTTTCCTTTATCCCTCCTCTGCCCCCTTAGAACAATTTCAGCAAGTTTTGTTATTCTATTTCATACATGAATATAAGATACTTCCACCATATTTGTCCTCCTTCACCCTTTACTTATTTCCTCCCCCCATCTCACTGGTACTGATCTCTGGACAGGACCCGTTTTACCTTCCTATCCTTCACTTTTTAAAAAAGACATTTTTATTAGTTTGATAGTTATATAGGGAGTTTGGTTGTGACATTTCCATATGTACATAATTATACCCCAAATTGGTTCATCTCCATTATTCTCCTTTCTACCTCATTTCCCCTTCTTATGGTAACTTCAATAGGTAAATTAAAACTTCCTGCCTTTGAAATTTCTTTTGTATTTATTTATTTATTTATTTATTCTTTATTATTCATATGTGCATGCAATGCTTGGGTCATTTCTCCCCCCTGCCCCCACCCCCTCCCTTACCACCCATTCCGCCCCCTCCCCTCCCCTCACCCCCTTGATACCCGGCAGAAACTATTTTGCCCTTATCTCTAATTTCGTTGAAGAGAGAGTATAAGCAATAATAGGAAGGAACAAGGGTTTTTGCTAGTTGAGATAAGGATAGCTATACAGGGAGTTGACTTACATTAATTTCCTATGCATGTGTGATTTTTTTCTATTCATACTGATCTTTATTAACACTTAAAAATTGCATCTAAATAAATAATTGGGGAATCTTCCATTTCCTATATAAAATCAACATAAAAATCTCATAATAAACATTGCCTTCTGGGAGTTTTGCAGATTATCTTTAGCCTTCTTGATCAAATGCAAGAAACTAGCATGTGACATTTAAAGGGATTCTAGCTTGGGTTGTCTGAATGTTTCAATTAGTAAAGGAGTAATTTCTATAGAAAATGTTGGGGTGACTAATTGTTCTTATCTGCCCCTAGGTCTTAAGCTCCAAACTCATGCCAACAGCTGATGACGACATGGCAAGAAGCTGTGCAAAGTCCTTCTGTGAGAACTTCCTCAAAGCAGGAGGTTTGAGGTATGTGTGCTGAGAAAATGAGTACAGTTGTATTAGTTAATTTTCTACAGAAGCCCTGTTTGTTCTTTCAAGGTATTACATGAAACACTGCGTGAGTTACCTTAAGAAGGAATGTTTCAGTCCTCTAAAAATCAGTACTTCCATTAAAATATTTTATTTCATTTTATAACTTTTGATTATTTGAAAAACTTATAGAAGTGATCTCCTCTCTAATTGTGGGGAAATTCTCAAGAGTAGAGATGAGACATATAAAAAGTGCTAAGAGAAGATCGAGACAGTACTGGTTAACTGGCTGTGGTGGTATACACCCATAATCCCAGCTACTCAGGAGGTAGGTATGGGGCGTATCACAGTTCAAGGCCAGCCCAGGGAAAAAGTTAATGAGACCCCATCTCAACAAATAAGCTAGGCATGTTTGTATATTCATATAATCCCAGCTAAGCAGGTGACATAGGTATGAGGATTGTAGTCCAAGGCCAGCCCTGGGCAAAAAAGCATGAGACCCTATTGAAAAAAATATAAAAGCAAAAAAGGGCTAGGGGCATAGCTCAAGTGGTAGAGCTGCTTCCTGGCAAGTGTAGGCACTGAGTTCAAAAGCCCTAGTACCGTACGTATGCACGCGCACGCATGCGCGCGCGCACACACACGAATAGTGGTTAAATTTGCTGGGATAATAAAGTTGGGAAATGCTTCACAGAAAATGACCTTTAGCTGGGGATTGAGAAAAGAGTAGAAATTGCCTTGGTAGATGAGCAAAGGTAAAGGAGAGAAGGGCATGAGGAGAGGTCTCCAGGGGAGCAGAGAAGGCCAACTCAAACCTTATGTGGGGTATTTGAGGGAATTCCTGTGTGGAGGTCTGGGCGGAAGAGAAGCTGGGCAGGAACTTTGAGTTAAAGGGATGGGAAACGCAAATGAAGGCTGAAAGAGTCCCACACACTGTGAAAGGTGTGCTGCATATGTGTAGTTTTTAATTCAGCACTTAGTAAAAACTCATTTCAGATTACCCAGCCATCTACATGTCTGTGATAATAAAGGCATTATGCTTTTGGGATATTTGTGTATATTAATTCATGTACCAAGCATTTTTTAAGCACTGGGACTGGCAGCAAATAGATAAGACAAAAATCTATACAAGCTTCCCCATAAAGCTTGCAGTCTAGGGAGAGAGACAAATACCAGTAAGGAAAAGTACATGTCAGAGCTGTCAAGACAAATAAAAAAAGGAAGCTGGGATGGTGGAGAAGGTTGTGATTTTTAATAGGGGGTGGGGAGAAGTTCAACTGGTGGAATGACAGTTTACAAAGACCTAAGGGAGATAGTGGCAAGACCTGGAGGTACCTAGAAGCAGCTTTCCATATCACTGCATGGAGGACCTACCTGGTACCTGGAGAGGCCACAGGAAGCCAGTGTTTGGAGCCAAGTGAGTGAAGCAAAGAATTGGGACATGAAGTTAGACACATGTCAGAGGGCTGTATATTTATATATAGCACCTTATAGGACACTGGGCAGGCTTTTTTTTGTGTAGGAAGCCATTAAAGGATTTTGTGAAGAAGAGTACCATGATCAGACTTATATTTTGAAAGGATTACTCTTATCTTTCAGAATAAATTTGGAGGTTGGAGGTGCAAGAGTGGGAGCAAGGAGAACAGTTAGGAAGCTTTTGTCATAATGTAGGGTACATTGGCTATGAAAAATAAGCTTGACTGGGTATGTCAATTCTTGATATAGTTTTGAATTGATAGTTTTACTAATACTAAGATCGTGATTGTTCAGTGGACTAAAACCAGTTACTGACAGAAATTGTTAGCTGAACACTTTCTTTTGTATATCTTTTTGGCTAAGCCAGGAGTGTAATTCTAATGGACCAGGAGGTTCTATTTATCATAGGAAACCATTGTGATAGAAATACTTATAGTTCATTTATGTGGAAGAATAGTACAGAAATTTAGTATCTAAAAACATTTATGAATTGCATTAGTTAACAGAAAATTTTCTTTTCTTTAAAGTTTGGTTGTAAATGTTATGCAGAGGGATTCCATCCCATCAGAAGTAGACTATGAGACAAGGCAAGGTGTTTATTCCATCTGTCTACAACTTGCAAGGTATGTAAATGTATTACATTAGTCTCACAAGGCAATACTTAATTTTTCTTCCCAAATCCTATTATTTTAGGTAGTTTGAAATTACCTTGAATAAGTCTAGTTCTTTCTTTTTAAGATTTTTACTTGTTGGACAAACAATGCCCACGTTATTAGATGAAGACCTCACCAAAGATGGGATAGAGGCACTTGCTTCTCGCCCGTTCCGAAATGTCACCAGGCAGACAAGCAGACAGATGTCTTTATGTGGTACCCCAGAAAAGTCATCCTACCGGCAGCTGTCAGTGTCGGATAGGTCTTCTATCCGGGTTGAGGAAATCATCCCTGCTGCAAGAGTTGCAATTCAAGTAAGTGATTGGTATATTCAAGAAGTATTAAGTACTTCCTACTCAGAACGACCTGCTTGGGAGATGGAGCAGTGTGGATATAAAAATGATTAACGTGAATGTTACTTTCAAGGAATTTATGGTGAGTGAGAATGAGACCACTGGTGCAGAAGTAGCTGTAAATCAAGTGTTACTGAACTATGAAGGCAAAGCATTTTGTGGGCCTTGGCAGTAAATGGAATGATTTCCTTCCACTTGTGCTGTCATGGGTGATTTTATTTTGGAGGTGGCATATAAACTATGTCTTGAAGACTAGGTGGGGATTGGAATTTAAGGGAGCTATTTAGAGACTTGTAAAGAGGAGACTTGTTCAAACAAAAGAGAGAGGAAAGTTAGAAAAAAAAAATCAGAGCGTAAATGTGAGATTTCAAGGTCATTCACAGCTGCCAAAATGTAATAAAGTAGGAAAGGGAAATAGTAAAAAGTACATTGGTGACTGGCCATTTAAAGCCAGAGCATGGAGATCATTCTCATGTTTTACAGATAACAGACATATTGAAAGTCTGAGCTTTCACTATTATCCTCTGGACAATCTTGGAAGGAAAGGTCTCTCACAAAACCCAGGCCAGTAAGAAGGTTGTAGAAGCTAGTGGAATGTGTTCAAGTTCAGTACTGCCTAATCTTATAACACTCTTTCCACCTTCCTTCAGACTATGGAAGTAAGTGATTTCACTTCTACTGTGGCTTGTTTCATGAGATTGTCATGGGCCGCAGCTGCAGGACGACTTGACCTTGTTGGAAGTAGTCAGCCAATTAAAGAAAGTAATTCTCTGTTTCCTGCTGGAATTCGAAACAGACTCAGCAGTTCAGGTACTGATTTCATAAAAGGACAAGGCAAGAAATAGCTGTGAGAGCCATGTATGTATAGATTTGTCAGTCATAAAACGAGAGAGCCTTTTCCTTTGCATTTGAGCCTGAGTAAAAAATTGATGGGATTAATATTTATGCACATTACTATATGTATATCATGCTTTATTAAAGAGAAAACGCATGTATAAACCCATAGAGTAAGTAAGGAAACCAAATGTAACGGTTTTGAGCTGTGCCGAGTGTCAAAGGTCATGAAGCCAGTGACTTGCAGCTCGAGTTCTGACCTGGGTAAATAGGTTGGTTTGGCAGTTTATTTCCTATTGGGCCTTTTAGTACAGCTTTATTTCTTAGTGTTCTTTGGTTTTCCTGTTGTATAAGTGCCTCAATATTAAAAGTTTTGAAGTTATGACATATAATAAAATGTAAAAATGTCCAGCTTATAATATTTTTAGTTTTATATGCCCATAACCCAACTTAACAATTCTAATATCCTAGAATAGTTCTCTCATGCCCCAATATTGTACTGTTCGTACTTCTACCACCTGAAATTAGTTTTACCTTGTGGACCTGATTTGTTTTTTGGTACTACAGTTTGAATTGAGAGCCTCAAGCCTGCCAGACAGACACTTTACCGCTTGAGCCATGCTCCCAGCCCTTTAATTGTGTTAGTTATTTTCTAAATCAGGTCTTGTGGTTTTTGCCAGGAGCCAGCCTCAGAACATGGTCAGGCACACACCACCATGCGTGGATGTTGGGTGAGATGGGCCTTACTAATTTTCTGCCCATGCTGGCCTGGAACCTCTGCCTGCTGAGTAGCTGGGATTATAGGTGTATATCACCATGCCTGGCTGTGAACCCATTTTGAATTCCTGCAAATGTGTTTTAAGGACAGAGCAGTTAAGGTGTTTCAAATACAGTGATCACATCTCTAGTTTTTTAAACAAAGGTGTTTTCTTGAAGGATTCTGGATCAAATATAAAAGGATATTAAAATATCACAGTTCCTATAGGATGTGCAGTAAACTTATACTTGCCTACTTTCAGGAAGCAATTGCAGCTCTGGAAGTGAAGGAGAGCCAGTAGCGCTGCATGCAGGGATCTGTGTCAGACAGCGGTCTGTATCCACCAAAGACTCACTGATTGCTGGAGAGGCTCTGTCTCTTCTTGTTACGTGCCTACAACTTCGGAACCAGCAACTGGGTAGGAAGAGGTTATATGGTCATGCATTTCTTTTAGGGAAAGATCATGTTTCTGTTGGGAATTGCTTACATTGCTACTAATAGAAATGAAAGGTGGGGGGTTGACATGTGGAATCAATAATAGAAGTGTATATTGAGTACCTTGTATATACAAGGACAGTATGTCTGCCCTGTAGGAGCTGACTGTCCAGCTGAGGAGTTAAAACACCCCAAATCGTTGATTCATAAAATATATATTTAGAATTATATATCAATTCCTGATAATAACTCCACCATTAAAAATTATGAAACTTCAGATTGGCCTTTTTCTCTTTGTTACTGGCTTTGAGGAACTGAGGCTAATACTAATCTTCCTTTAACATTAGAGTACACAGGGTTCAGGCTCTCACTGTCTCTGCCCTGTCTGCACTAATTCTCTTGGTGATTCTATCCAGTTTCACAGCCTTGAATTTCATCTAGCTGTTGACACCTAGCAATACCTCAGTCTGGATCTGTGGTCTGACCACTCCCCAGGCATTTCCACAGAGATACCAAGTAGACATTCCGAACTTAACCTGTCTAGAAATGAACAACCTATCTTTCCCATATTATTCAAGAGGCTTCCCAATGTACAGGCAGGTTCACCCTCTCCCTTTGGCCAGCAGCTTTGGAGTAATGCTTGATGCTTTTATTCACACTCTACTCTTCGTCTGTCAGCACATCCTCCTCCAAGCTCTATCTAGATTCCACCCCTTCATACCACCTTTACTGTTAGTACTTTAGTCTGCCATCATTTCTTACTTGGATTGTCACAGTAGTACCCTCACTAATTTTCCTGCTTCTGACCTGGTAGTTTATTCTGTGCAGTAATTAGAGGGACCTTCTCATGTGTAAGTCAGATTGCACCGCTCCTCTTTCAAGACCTTCCAGGCTTCTCATTTAGCCCAGAGTAAAAAACAAATCTTCATTAAGGCCTCAAGGTTCAATGTAATCCAACCCCCCAATACTGTACCTTCCCCTTTTTCTGCCCTCAACCACTGGCCTCCTTGCTATTCCCCCAATATCCAAAACACATTCTTGCCTCAGGGCCCTTGCACTTGCTGTTCCATTTTCCTGATATGTTCTTTCCCCATCTGTCCACATAGTTCTCTGTTCCTCCTCTCCTACAAGTCTTTTCTTACATATCTTGGTGAGACATTTCCTAATCGACTCTCAAAAGAATTACAGCCCTCACCTTGCTGTAGCACTGCTAAAATTCTTTCCCTTATTTTTTATGTCATTTTATCTCTTTATAACATACAATATAATTTACTTGTCTACTGTATTATTGCTTTCACCTACTCCTCATCTAGATTGTAAGCTCCACAAATACAAGAGACTTTTATTTATTTTGTTCTCTGCTGACTCTCCAGCACTCAGATGCTGCCTGATATATATAGTAGGCCCTCAGTTGATATTCAGGAATGAAATCTAAACAACTCCAGTTTTAAAAATTATACCAACACACAGGAGCCCTATTCTTAACTGTTATTGCCAATTTCAGACCACCAGTTATGTACAGTTGGTAGTCATTATGTATTTGGTATAACATCTATACTAATCACATAAACCAGAGGTAAAGATAATCAAGATAAATATAGAAGCAGCTAGACATTTAGAGAACATTTAAATAGCATCTAAAATGATTTTCCCTGAGCAAGAATGCCTTTGAAGATTTAAGTTTGAGAAGTATAAGTTATTATGAAATGACTTTTAAGACTTGTGCCGCACTCTTAATTTGATTTTCTGAAAATTGTTTGAGAGATTTTTCAAATCAAGATGAAAAATTATAACATTCCTCCAAGCTTAGCTTTTATCATTTGTGAGCTTTTTGTTGGTATGTTTATGATTACAAGTATAGTTTATTGAGACAAGACTTAATACATACTGTAACTGGTACGTGCAAAGCATTGTGAGAAAGTGTGCAATACAAAGAAGACTAAGGCTTCTCTTGAGCATATTAAAATTCCATGAGATAAGAAAAGAGGCACGGACATAATTGAAGAAGGTCCTGAATTTTGATTCTATGTAGAAAGGAAAGATAAAGTTCTGCTTAAGTTGAAATTAAAACATAACTCAAAAATTTCAAAATTTTAAAAGTGCATTAACTAATTTAATTTAGTTCTTTCTCCTCCCTAAATCTCCTTCTTCGTCTTGTTAGCATCTTTCTATAACTTGCCCTGTGTTGCTGATTTCATCATTGATATTCTCCTTGGATCACCAAGTGCCGAGGTAAGAAGTTCTTACATTACCTCTAAAAACTCCTGTGGTCTTAGTCTATTGTGGGCTCTCTTGGACACCTGAGATACTGTGGGGAGGCCAAAGATGTGGCCACTCTGAAGGAAAAGTAACCATTTGGACTATACTGTCCCTTCTGCTGCCTCCTGCATATCCCAACGAAAGTAATGAGACTCGAGTCAGAATTGAATTGATGTTTGTTTTTTATAGCCATGATGTTACAGCCAGTGTTGAGGATCCAAAATTTGAAAGGCATCTGGCCTTAACTTCTAAACCTACAGACTGAGGTGGACTAGAAGAATAGTCTGAGGAATCAGTTCCCAGACCACACTTGTTTGACTTGTTTTTTTTCAGTACTGGGGATTGAACGCTGGACGCACATGCCGAGCATGGGCCACATGCCCAGCCCACTTGTTTTTAATTGGCCCTTTTACTCAATGGTGTCTTTACCACTAAGCGCTACAGCACTCACACCTCCTAGTGTCCTCCATTAACGTGAATAAATAAATTGTGTGCACTTTGGAGGAAATCGCTTCTTAAGTAACCTCTAAATGTTGATGACATACGTCCTTTGCCATCAATCACTTAATTTCAGATCCGCCGGGTTGCCTGTGACCAACTGTATACTCTTAGTCAGACAGACACTTCAGTTCATCCAGATGTGCAAAAGCCAAATCAGTTCCTCTTAGGCGTCATTCTCACAGCTCAGCTGCCTCTCTGGTCCCCAACCAGTATTATGAGAGGAGTCAATCAGAGGTATGTAATAAACATAAAATAAAAAGTTCATGTGACACAAAGAAAAAGGCTAAGTA